CCTTTCGCAAACCGAGCGACTGTTCTTATTGAGATCCCTTAGACCTGGAGATGAAGCTGGTGGATTTTTTAAGCATTTTTCATTCATTAAAAATCTTTTTGATGTTAACAATTCACCTTTTAAAAGTTAAAGAAAATTAAAACTATAGATTTTTATTGCAAGTATATTTTGCAAGTAAACATGTCGTCATATGGCACGTTTCATTAACTTGAATTAGATATTATAGTTAGATCATATAAGAGGGGTATTAACGCGATAGAATTTGGATAGTTAGGTTTTTCACCTACCTATATTTCCCGACGTTTCGACCAGGTTACACCGGCCGCGGTCACGGGTTGACTGTATCTGCGATGCTACGTGTTACGATGCTAACAGTCAGCCCGTGACCACGGCCGGTGTAACCTGCACGCGTAGCATGACAAACTCGAGAAACGCTTTGTCTACACTCATTTGTCAGTTTCTCGGGTCGAGAGTGAGATATAGTATGGGCGCACCCGAGAAAAGTGACATTTGAGTGTAGACAAAACGTTGTTGCGTTCGTCATGCTACGCGTGCAGGTCGAAACGTCGGGAAATATAGGTAGGTGATAAACCAAACTATCGAAATTCTATCACGTTACTACCTGTTTTATACAATCTAACAAAATGCAATGCGAAAGTTTGAAAGTTTAGATATTAAAATACTATACACTAGAATGCTTCGTATAATAATGATTGGATTATCATGAAGTGCAGTAAAATTTTCATAACGAAAAATAGCGCTCAAAGTAGGTGTCGTAACCAGGAATATACTTGATACTCATCGTATAATAGAGTTTTTAAATAGGCATTTATAAATAAATTATTGAAGTATTTTATTTTTATGCATGCTTGGCGCGACAGAAAAAAAAAACAATCTGTACCCTCTATGCAATAATACAACTCATTTGAATCTCTTAACCACATATATTTGGAAATGATGATCGAACTAAGGTTTCAACCTTATTAGCACACAATGGTATATTTTGTATTTGCATATAAAATAATGCGATAAGCTTCTAATTGTTAAAAGCAGTTAGTCATACTTAGTCTTAGTTTTCTATTGCGTATATAGAAAATAACAACGGTCTTTATAGCACACTTTATAATTATTCCTGTACAATATATATACTTAGTTTACTAATCAGCTAGCGTTTCGAGAATATTAAATAAAACTGGTTAAGAGTGAGTCTGATTTGCGCAAATAGGGCTCCGCATAAAGTTCTTATAAGATCCGTTTGAATTTTTGTATTAAAATACTTTTTTTATGTATTAACAAACTCGAGTAATATAGAAGAGCTTTTTATAAAGATTTTTTATTTTTCATTGTCAACCTTATTACACCTTATATATTTCCAGCAAACAAATTACCCGATTCAATAGAAATATGAATAATACCTATTAGACAACATTTTCTAAAGTGACACGAGATTTATGCGATGAAAGTTGACCGGTGAAGTTACAATACAACTTTCAAACTTATAGGAAACTCGACGCTGTAAAAGACTCGATCTACTAATAAATAATCGAATGTTATTTACTAATGCAGATAAACACTTAGACGGAAAGTTGATTTATAAAAAACTAGACGTTTCTTCCTCGCACGCGTAAAATATAGCCTATTTCAACCCCGTATAATGTAGCTACCCGTAAGTGAAAGAAGTTTTGAAATCGTTCCAGTAGTTTTGGAGTCTATTCAATGCAAACAAACAAATCATTCCTCTTTATAATATTAGTATAGAAAAGACAACGGCTCCACTAAAAACAATCTAAAATATTATCATTTTGATAAGTTTTGCATTTACAATGCTATACTGATAAATATCCTCAATTAAATTTTTTTAAACAATCCATCAGCTCTAGGTACCCTGAGAAGTGACTCGAATCCACGACTCCTGCATTGTACTTTTTTTATATTTTTTTAAACATTTTTTCGTTAATAATTTATAAATCCGTTAAACAAAGGATTTAAATGAATTTGCGCCTTTAGAATTGATAAATAAATCTGACACCTCGGATATTTCCTTAGTGGCAGGAACCTGCACGTGATCCGCGTTGCAATACCATAATTATAAAGTTGCGCAGACCGCATTAGTGACGCACGCGCATCGCTCACCTGCAGTTACTGCAACTTTACACAGAATTTATCGAATAAGAGGGCGCGTAAAGGAAACAATAATATTTCGAGTCGCTTAGATAACAATACTGATTTGCAGGCTATTAATGTTAGACCAGAGAACTTGAATAGACAAATCAAACGGACCCAGACTCGAAAGGGTTGTGATATTTTATAATAAAAATTATATGGCCTTCCAATCCCATCGTCATACCATCGATGTTATTTTGGATCAAACTCCTTGCCAAGACAAATCAAACGAGCGCAAACTACATGGAATTGCTTCTGTCAAAGAGGTCCCATGGCTGTCTAGAGGCTTCATAATCAGATCACTTCAATTCCATATTAATATCATAATTTTAAAGGAGACGAAAAAAACGTTTCATATTTTTACTACAACAAGTTTCTTTATTTTTATATTTGATCATTTAATGGATAGGCATGGAAAATAAGATGTTTACATTCATTACAAGAAATCTATATTAGTTTAAAAATTACTGTAGATAGCTGGTATAAGTTAAAATGTTTGATGGTATTGGTAAACGAAATAATATTTGAAAAAAGGTAGATTTATGACTTTGGTCAAACAAACACATCACACCCACCTTTGTTCATTATATATTTTTCAACATGGATTGCCTGCAAGAAATTGCTAACATTAATACTGCCTTTTGTTCACTTTATTTTTCGCTTCTTGGTTATGTGGCTTGTGTAGTATGCAAAAAAATATTATTTCAAAATATCATTTCTATATCGTCGATCGAACGATAATCGAAATCTACAGACTAAGACACGTGTTTGAGCATTTTTATCTTTACACTTTGCTGCCGAGTGACATTATTGTCTAGAATGAGATATAACACGTACGAATTAACATGACCCCTGTGGGTCTATTCTGTTTTGTCCTCGAACGAAAATTCTGAAAATTTCGGAACGTTCTTTTAATTTTGTTCAAACCACATCCGTGAAGATTATCTGTGCATCAGTGGCAGTATCAAATCCTACCTTCGTTCCATTATAAATTATCGAATAATGCGTGTTAGCATTTCGAAAATAAACTTCCTTTCTCTGAGTGATAAAATATATCTTCAGGTGTCGTGTTAATTGGTACTAATAGAAGGTTGTATGATCGTCTGTTTTCTCACTACGTATGCGGGGATATTTTGCAAAAACCTTTTCCTGTATAGGTCAACGTTTCTTTGTGACATTAAAAATTATATGACGTCAGATAAACTAGTGAAGCATACCGTCACGTCACCTAACCTAAGTCATGGACGTAGCCGTAGTCGTGGTTATAACCAACTCTTTATAGGTGTTTCTGGTGATATTGTTTAAAAATTAATAGTTTATTATTATTCAATCAATGCTTTTGGTTGTTTTTGTTTACTGAACTGTATTTGTCTGTAGGGTCTATTATATGGCACTCTACGCATAACGGTTCATATTGCAACTCGCAATAAGAGCGCGTAATTACGTATTGTCTGTAGTTAGGTGGTATTTCCATACATTATTACGACACGTAACTTTGGTGTTATAGGTATTTTCTCATAACTCCTTATATATTGCGAACTTGAAGTAATCGATTAAAGGAAACGATCCGTAAATTAACCATGAAAAGAACTGTATTAAAAAGTCAAAACCGCCAAAAGTGTAGATAGATGGTCTTGGTTCTTAAGCGTCGACATGCTTTTCAGCTCAATCGTAAACATAGTAGGTAAAATTAAATTGACATTCCTAACATTTACATTCCATGAAGCAAATGAATGTCTACTGTTAAATTTTGTATTTGACTCGTGTGGCAAAATAAATGTGTTAGAACCGTGGTAGTCGCTGTTTTTAATCGCACTCACATAAATATTACCGCATTGTATATCCAGTCGCTAACTGTACAGTTAACGTGCGATATGCCATACTTACACAGTAATCTTTCTGTAAATCTTTAATGGCGCGAAGAAAAATACACTTTATATATTCTATTTCATCATTTTTATATATTCTATCTTATAGTTCTCTCTTTAAATCGCTTTGATTCGCCTCGCAATTTAACTCGTTTCCGTTGGCTTTATACGGTCTCTTAACATAACCGCATTTGACACAGAAGGAATAGTTGGCTCTAAGTTATTTATTGTTTTAAAATACCATAAAGTAAGAATGTAAGTGATTCATACTTGTTGTGGTTTACTAATAACAATCCAACACTTTACTGTAGAATTGTACCTTGTGTTTATATCTTTAACCTTTAAACAAGCAATTCTTATGTAGATATAATCAGAATTCAAAATTTCGTATGCAGGTGGTTTCGGGAGCGATAGCTTGAAATAACCTCAATTATCTTGTCTTTTACTTAAACAAAAATAAAAAGAAAATTTTGAAGAATTGTAAAACACCCGGATTTTCAACAGTCCGCGACAACGATGTTGATTGTCAACCCCTGCAGGTTGGCAACCTTATGAGACAGAATAGCTAAAAGCTAAATTTCACAGTTTTTAATGAGCCACTAAAAAATTCGTCTTCGCCGGGCCAAAGGGGTTATCGACCCTTGGTTATGTGCAATGTAATGATATAATATCGTACATTTTTAATTTCATTATTACAACTTCACAATTACACAATTAATTACAGTTTTACAGAAGTTTGGTCGCTAGATTAAAAAGTAAATCAATTTAACTAAATATGTAACGATAAGAGTATGCGTATTCGTGCAAATCTGAGACGGAACAGACAGAGACGATTCTTTATTTTTTTTAAATTTGGTATTGACAAATACTAAACAGTACTGCTTGTGCAATGAAAAATAAAACCTAAAAATTGTAGTTCATATACTGGTAGAATGAGTAATTCATTAATTCATCGTCATTTGTCCCCAGTTGACTGGTTGGGCAGCCTCAGTCTGCAATGTCCCGCGTATCACAATCCAGCATCTTTCATCATCGAAGTGTCCTGCGGCGAGTACGGCGACAATACAGGGAAACTGGTACGGGCTATCGACAACGGCAAGCATGATATCAGGTAAACTATCCCTAATTATTATTAAGCTATCAGGCAGATGCGGATGGACGTGAAAAATTTTCATTTCACTTCCCAATTCTTCTCTGATTGTTAAACAACTTGTACATAAGCTTTTTTTTATTTTGGTTAAGCTACAACATATGTTTCTTAAATATAACACTTTAATATAAAAATCATATTTTGGACTGTATTAATACTCACGAAAACACTGTCCGCCATTTTTATGACGTCACTTGGATGTGTACACAAAACAGAGATGTCGATCTCATAAGAAAGGTGGCATCTAACGATCTTGCTACAAAATAAAAATAGTAAATAAGGTAAGACCAACGCCATCTAGAAATCTGCTTTAAATAGGCTGCTTTTTAAGGTAGAACCTGACAGATACAGTTTTTTTCTATCGAAGTGACGTCACATTATAACCTTTTCATTTAATTATATACAAAAATAATAAGCAACAGTCTATTGAATTTACACTTATTAAAAAGTCTTTATAATACTCAGGGCTGGCCACCCGTTCCCGAAGAGCAAAGTCCCGGACTACAACAACAAACGGGACATGGAGATGTCCCTATCTGTGGAGAAGAACAAGAACGATCTCTCACAAATCCAGGAAAAATTCACAGACGGAAACCGGGACTCGAACGGGAACGGCAATTTGCAAAACGGGATACTGCAGTTCGCCGCCAACGAAATATCCAAAGGCAAAGGTAAGTTTAACTCAATATACTAATGCCAGTTTTCACTAAACTTAGGAGTCGCCCAAATATGTTGCCTAAATTTTTAGGAACCTCAGGTGGCATTTTAATAACGACTAGGAACCACCTAATGACATTAAGTAATTACTTTTATGCGCTAAAAAACGTGTTTATGTGGAATTAAACGAACCTACTTAAGCGATCGTTAGGTAGAATACCTAACAATACAGGTACGTTTCATTTATGTATTCATTAGAATACATAAATTGTATTCTAACATGTTTATTTTAAATTTACAAGTCGCTAACAAAACATTTTGGCAAAATAAATAAAATTTAACTTTTTTTAAAGTAAACTTTAAAACTCGCTATTAGGTAATAAGACATCAATCTAACTAACTATCTGGGCAACGCCATCTAGCGATATGTTATAATAAATGGCGACATTGCTTTTGTCTATATGACGTCACACCATGGCGTCTCGTCTTAAAACACGACCTAAAGGTCATATGGTATACAAATGTATGAAAAGCTTCTTTAAATGCTAATTTAATAAAAAATAATATCTGCAATTGTTGCCAAATTTCATGTTATTATAACGACCCCTAAAAGCAAATTTTAATAATATCATCAAAGAAGTTTTATTTTAATATTTTTGGATAAGGAACCAAATTAAAATATAATTCTCAATGATCTAATAATTCAAATAAAATTTAATAATTCTCAATGATCTAATAAATTACAGGTTTTTTATCGATATTTAAAACTTGTGTACTCAGAATAGCAAAATATACAATTATCTTTATAAAGATAAATATTAAATGATGTTCTCAGTGAAGAATGGTATCTCGTATCTATGATGTGGTGGCACGGTCAATGTCGTGTTTATAATAAACAGGAAATTGCGTTATTTTGCTATATTATTTATTTGTTTGTAACTAACCGTTACATAAATACCTAACATACTGACGTATGAATGTTATAAGTTTTTTTTTTAACTTAACCACGCTGCAAACTTAGTTTTTTTGGATTTTGGATAAAAGCTAACCTAGGATAGTTTCGTGCATATTTAAACTTTTAAAATCAATAAGATTTCTAATACATTTCCTTGTATTTAGCTAAGAAAGATATTCCTACTTTTTTATTTAGGTGTTTGTAGTTTTGAAAATCAGTATTACTATTATGTAATTAGGACAATCAGTTAATTGTCTAAGATTAATATCTATCGCGATTCCTTTCAACTTGATTTTTGTTATGTTTTGATGGAATGCCGTATTGCGTAGTTGTTTTGCTGGATGAGCGGTATATAATAATGTGATGAATACGGGTGTAGATAGTAAACAAAAATTTTTTTTTTCTGATAGTGTTTAATATACTATTACTGATAATCACACTTTAATGCTTGTTATATTTATAATACCGATTAAATTAACTAAACGAATATTTTAAAATCGTTGTCATGTGACCGCAAACAGCGCGTGACGTAAATCTATATATATAAAAATGAATCGCAAAATGTGTTGGTAAGCGCATAACTCAACAACGCCTCGACCAATTTGGCCAAATCTTTTTTTAAAATGTTCGTTGAGGTTCAAGGATGGTTTTTACGGCGAGAAAAATATTGCTGGAAAAACCCTAAAAATAGCCCTTTTCTTTTTCCCATACAAATGATTTGTAACTAAAACGTAGTCAATTTGAGCTTTATTGCTAAGCACTCACTGTTGTCTAAGCAATGTAGGTGTGTTCCTAACGTCAAAGATCATATCTATCACAAAACAATGTGCGTGTGTGCGTTGGAGCACAGAATACATAGTTGGAGGAGTTTAATGTCGCGTTCCGAAACTCGCGTTTCTTTTGTATTAGTTTCGGCACGCGAGATAAAATGCATCAGTTTCCACGTCATTACATGTATTGCCGGAACATTGATGAAAATACGCTCTGTAGTAGCAAAGCTGTTGGGTCCTAGATAGCTCATTGGTTAGAGCAGTCCCTGGATCGCGAATGGGTTCGAGTCCCATTCCGGGGTACAGGTAGATGGATTCTTCCAGCATTTTTCCTTGAGAATGTTTATATATTTTTTTAATTCGAATAGTTTACTTTTATAATGCTGTTGTGTGTAATGTGTTTTTATGATCATAAAAATCTCTTTTTTCTATATTTAATACTATTACTATTAATACATTGCAATAATAATTATGATTCACATGATTAACAATAAAGCGATTACTTACTTTTAAATCCTTATATATGTTTTATTTAATTATTTTTTATTCACAACGCCCTATCACCAGGGTGACGGTTCTGTTCAGGAGAATTTTTTTAAATACGTAGGCAAAAAACTGCCACATTACAAATCTTTTTGACAGGACGAAGTCTGTCGGGTCAGCTAGTTATAAATAAATAAATATCGAACAATATCCATCACACACATTGATCCGATTCCGAGGCAAGTAGCTTAGGCACTTTTGTTACGGATATCGGAAACAACGGGGGGAATAAAAATATATACATAATATAAATAGAAAACACCCAGACTCAGAACAGACATAATTGTTAATCACAGAAATGTTTGTCCTGGGTGGGGATCGAATCCACGACTCTCGGGGTAATAGTAGAAACGCTACCACCGCGCCGTTGAGCCCGTTAACACTGTATTTGTTTTTAATGGCCTTGTTCCGTTATACACGGAAATTTTGCCAACATCCAGTAGTGAGAGAGACACAATTAAACCCTTAGCATACAAAGAACGATATTAGTTTTAGAGGTGCGTGACGTCATAGTGACGCCGTGACAAAAGATGGCGTTTTCGCGAGAAATTTTTAATAGTAAATTTGTTTTTAGGTTTTAACTCATTATATGAAAGATCTGTATAATGAAAATATATATATATATTTTTTTTTATTTATTGAGGAACAAACAGTTATACATTTTACTTATCATAATTAAATATAGTATATGTTTCTAAACCTCAACAACAACAACAACCAGTTCCCTCAATGATAACAATCTTTATATATTTTTCTTATGTTAACCTCCGCAATTAAAGAATGAGAACTCAAAATTATCAATATAAAGAAAATAAAAGTGTTTAAAAGTTACTGTAAAAAAAAAAGAAAATCAAATGAAATAACTTTATATAAGAGATCAGTGATGCGATTTTTAAATATATTTAAAGATGAGTTAAATACATCTACCACTCTCAGTTTATCATTGGACAAAATACAAGCCCTCCCTATAAAATAAAAACAGTCGTCTACACCCCTTTTGCAGGTGAACCGTTAGTGCTCCAGATGGAGGAGAAGCAGGACAACGTGGAGGTGGCGCTGTTGGGCAGCGAGGCGTCGCCGCGCCGGTACGCCACCTCCGAGTTCAAGCAGTTCTGGGTGGTGCTCAAGAGGACGCTACTGTTCAGCAGGAGGGACTGGGTAATTATAGTGTTTTGATGCTTTAGTAGTGGTTGTCTATGGTTTTAGTTTTGATGGTCTAAAGAGTGCTAAATGAATCCCCATTTCCCTTGGTCATACGTGAACGGCTGGACCGATTTCGCTATTTTTTGTTTGTTTTGTTATTGTCAGGCGAAGGTTCTTATCAAAGAAAAATATAAGAGAATTGTGTGGGAAAACTTGAAAAGTATTTCTAATCTAACCTTAGTGCTTTGTATAATAAAAACATTTTTAATGTAACTTATAACGTTTGATGTTTCGAATTCAATTTTCTTAATTAAGACAGGACGTCTGTCGGGTCAGCTAGTATCCCATAATAAAGCAAACACTCCAAGGTTTCATCCACATTGACAGAATGCAACACCAGGCTCGAACCTACAACTTTTTCCCACCTGGGCATAAATTTAATCAACGGAACTAGCAACCATTTGGAGACCCCCAGGGCGACTAGCAATTAAAGAATTATAGTAAATATTCGTTGGCGTGTCGGCTACTAAAATAAAACGAATTATTAGTGCATGAGAAGCTATGAAAACTTTTTTCTTTACGGTGTAAAAATAGCAATCGTGAAAAGAAGAGACTAGGCTAAAGCTTTTAAATTCAATGGAAGCTTTTAAATGTAAGCGTAACAGTTGCTGTAATATTAGAAGAGATTAACAATAAAGAAATATACTTTTATAAGTTAATATCTTTTTTTTCGTGTTAGATTGCGAGTCAAGTAAAAAATTATTGAGTTTTGTCTGGGCCGGGTGCTGTACCGCTGTACCCAAAAAATTTTTTGAGTGAGAATGTTAAATGTTGGTAATATAAAATGTACAGGTGCATGTATGTGCATTACATTATGTTCCACGCAGATGGCTAATCTATGTCACAATTTATTGAAAAATGTTTATTATGTTAAAAATATTACAAGTATCAAGACATCTTTATCCTCTTAATTATTCCAGACTCTGATGTACTTGCGTCTGTTCGCTCACATCCTGGTGGGCTTCCTGATCGGCGCGTTGTACTACGATATCGGCGACGACGGCTCTAAAGTGTTGTCAAACCTCGGTTTCCTGTTCTTCAACATGCTCTTCCTCATGTACACCTCCATGACCATCACTATACTCAGCTGTGAGTATCGGATGTATACATTATTTTTAACTTATATTTTTCATCAGCCCTTCTACGCTCCCTTTGCAGGGACTCACTCGTTCCTTATGGATGGTTAAGGAGGATGGGCCGTAACCCTCCAATGCGGGTATCAACGACTGCCAATGAAGCCGGAACCAACGGCTTAACGTGCCCGAACTAGCCCGAGATAATAATTTTTGGTCACCCATCCCCTTGCGAAAGTTGCCTAGCAACAACTGATACAATACTGATTCGATTATAAAAATTGTTTCTGTCATGTTCAGTCAATCTATACTAATTTATACGAGTGAAGTTGCGGAAAACAGCTAGTCTATAACATAATCAAGTCACATATAATTATACGACTGCTTTGAAATAAAATTAACTGCTAATAAGTAACCGTTTTATCTACATTTACTCCTATGTTGTAAAGAGAAAAAAAGGAAAAATAAATCTATATAAACAATATTAAAATATGTGCACAATTTAAAAAAAATCTGTACAATATGATTTTAAAGTAACAATGATCTTGTTTAATATGGATTCCAGTTCCCCTGGAGATGCCGGTGCTAGTGAAGGAACATTTCAACAGATGGTACTCGCTCAGATCATACTATCTGGCCATCACAGTATCTGATATACCGTTCCAGGTGAGTTTATTTAAAATAAAGTATAATGCGTGAATTTGGAACTGAAGTACCAATTATCCACATGCACTTTGTGAAATTGAAAATGATGACTTATGTAAACAATAAATATGTAGTTTTTTTCTGTTTTGATATAATTAACTAGCGAATTTTTATCTGTGGTTTACAAGAACCGATATACGGAGCTTCGTGTGACGTCATATTTCAATAAAAACGTCAACGTCTTTCTGGCGAGTGCATTCTGTACTCATGTTTAATGAAATGTGACGTCACTGCTCGAAATATCATGTGGTAGATTGTTGTCGTGGTAAAATTTAAATTAATTAATTTAAATATATTTATCCTTTATAATAATAACACTTTTGAAAAGAATAAATCTGATAATGGTTTAATATGATAATATCAAAGTTTTGAAGTACTCTTCTCAACAGCATCTCTCACCGTATAATGTAATATATAGTTGATATTTACGCTTAATAATATAATTAAGAAACAGAGATCCAGTTTCTTTCAAATTTTTGATTAATATTGTTTGTAAATCGAGGAATAATATTTTCTATATATTTATTTTCTATATATTTTATCTTCTATATATGTTATCTAAGTATAGATCTCAATTGCTACATAATATGGGTGTAGACAGTAAATGAAAATATTTACATGATTAATATACTATTACCGCAAACAGCGCGTGACGTCACGCCCACCGTACTCATGCATACATTCAACCTTATGCATACATAGAACGATATTCGTTTCAGAGTGCCGTGACGTCATAGCGACGCTATGATAGAAGTGACGTTTTCGCGGGAAATTATGAAAATGAATTTATTTGTAGATTGTAACTTATTATATGTTAAATATTAAAAAGTTGTCTACACCCCTATTGCAATTAAAGTTAAGGCTTATGTTAATTTAACATTGACTGTGGAATGCGTTGCACCTTCCTCTTTCTTGGCATAGTAAACATATAGCCCGTTGCACTTCTATTAAACTTCCATTAAAATTTTCATTGGTTTAAAGCGACTTTACCAAATTTGGCTTTCATTAGAGCTTAGAGACGCCATTTAACTTTAATGGACGTTTGTGCAACTGACCGTTAGTCGGTTATAGTTTACAGTTAAAGTAATGACGTCATCCAACCATAGCCAAATGATAACTCATTATGATTTTCTTAACCGTTACATTTGCACGTTAGTTATTGCTAAAATTAATTGGTGCAACTAACCATAAGTGTTTATAATGTATTATATATATGTGTCCAGGCAATATTCTGCGTGATATACGTGGTGATAGTGTACCTGCTGACGTCACAGCCGCCCGTCTTGTTCAGGTTCACGATGTTCCTGTCCTCATGCTTACTCATCTCCTTCGTCGCCCAAAGCGTCGGATTAGTAGTAGGTGCCGCTATGAATGTACAGGTACGTATATGTGTTTCTAAATTGATTCTTAGTGCATGGAAAGTAGCCTAAATTACTGCTTATTATATCAGCTATCTGCCAGTGAAAGTCCCATTAAAATCGGTTCAGCCGTTTCAGAGATTAGACGAAAATTTTATTTTCGTATATGTACTGTGTACACATATATTAATAAATGGTTTTTATTAATAAATGGTTATTTTAACATTACAAACGGACACTCGCAATTTTATTTAGAATACCAGTATTGACAATTTATAGTTAACGGTATCTGAATAAAAAGAAATATTTCATTTGGCAGTTTATATTTTTATACCGTATTAATAATCGTTTGTTTTGAAATGATTTCTGAAGTAGTGAAATGTTGTAATTCGATGCGATTCATTTATTTTAAATAGAAAAATATTAAAAATAAAACGCTTTTTACTAAATGCATATGTACTTAATACGTTTTTACCATAGAGCATATTTAGTTTCTGTTTTGTGGTGTTGTATTCATAGAGAAATTTATTGTGAGGGAATCAAGTTATAATGATATAACCATGATATAAAATTGTGCTGCTGTTCATGACTTCACCAAAACGGGCTACTCCGTACTTCGGAAGGCACGTTAAGCCTTCGGTCCCGGATGCATTTGCAGTCGTTAAATCGCACTGTGTCAGTAGGGTCATGGCCCATTCTTCCATTCGATTCCATCTAGTGAAAGCCTGAGATCAGCATTGGGGACATTTATAAACCTGTAATGATGATGATGAAGAATAATTTTTGGGTCACCCATCTTATGACAGACCATTAGGAAAGTAGCTTAACTTTTACGAATATTTTTTATAATTTTATGTGTGTTAACAGAACGGCGTGTTCCTGGCGCCGGTGATGTCGGTACCGTTCTTATTGTTCAGCGGCTTCTTCGTATCGTTTAACGCGATCCCCAAGTACTTGCGATGGATCACGTACCTGTCGTACATCCGGTACGGGTTCGAGGGGACCGCTCTGGCCACATACTCGTTCAACAGGCCCAAGCTGCAGTGCCACCAGGTATATACATAGATAATGGAATGTGAACTAGAGATGCGCCGAATAACCGAACACTATTCGGTTTCACCTTTAACGAACCTGATATTCGGCCGAATTGTTCGGTTTATTATTTTGTTGTTTTTCCGCGTAAATGGATCATAAACAAATGTTTAATAGAAGTTTAATGACCTTTTTATTAGCTTTATTGGACACATTCTTCATTGGATTTCTTTGTCTGGTACTATAACATAAATATTACATAAGAAGTTTTGTTATTTATTCTATACCGTGTCGGGTAGTCAAATATATTCGGCAGCAAAACCGAATAATTCGGTCGAAAACAAATAGTAAAAAAGATGCCTTATACACTGAATACCGGATATCAAACGAATTTTCGGCGCATCTCTAATATGCATATTTTTAGGATTCCATACCCAAAGGATAAAACGGGAACCTTATGACTAAGACTTCGCTGTGCGTCTGTCACCAGACCATATCTCGTGAACCGTGAAAGATTGATAGTTGAAATTTTCACAGATGATTGACTTATAAACCAGATAAAACCAGTGTAAAATAAATATTTAAGGGGCTTCCATACAACTTACGTGTTTTTTTTTTTTGCTTGTTTTTAATCGAAATTGATAAAGACAACAGACGCTTGAAATGTTAATAGAATATGTAATAATATAGTCACGTCAAATTTAAATAATTGAATTAAAATTAAACAAATATTTAAGGGGGGCTCCCATACAACAAACGCGACTTTTTTCCTCATTTCCCGTACGGATCCCTTCGTGCTTTTTTAATATTTTTATTTTATGCGTACACGGCTGTCTACACCGCTATTACCAACACTTCAACTTCTAATTGTCAATGGTAGAAAAACAAATATGCATCTCGTCCCACAAACTATTCCACGACTGCATCCTTCCACTTCATTCCAGGTGTATTGCCACTTCAAGAATCCCGAAACTACGCTGGAAGAGCTGGACATGCAGGACGCGGACTTCGGACTGGACATCGCCGCCCTCTGTCTCATATTCGTGGTGCTTAGAATTTCAGCATTCCTGTTCCTACGCTGGAAACTCAAGGCCACCAGATAAGCCTTAAATTTATTCACATAAAGACTAAATTTCCAAGACAGGTTAAGTAGTCGCTTGGAAGTTTGTAAAACTGATTCTTGTTAAATTAGGTATTTATTTTTCTAAGGCTCAAATTGTAAAGTGTGATATTTCTATATCACACTTTAAGTATTTTAATTTTTGTTTCATAAAGTAAAAAGTCACAAAATGTAATTACTTTATTGTAATCAATTGAACAGAGTTTTGATGAAAATGATTAAACAAACTTTTTTTTATATAAGTTTTAAAAACTTTCAAGCGGATTGTAGTTAGTTACCTATAAATTATATGTGATAGTTGGTGTTAATGTTCGAATAATATATTTACTAAGTTTATTCCAAATAGTATATTAATGTATACATATGTAATTATATACAGAAAATATAGACATAGACAGTGTAATCATGATACGGGGATGCGAGATGCAAAGATTATTTTATTATAATATATTTTGAAGAAAAAAAGTACTACTTTCTCATAAATATTAATAGTATTCATACACGTAACGATATACTTGTGCTAGTTTAGATTTGTACAAGCATACAGTAACGTGCGTTTGAACATTACTACGCAAATTTCTAGACTCGCTAAATAATGTGCACTTGTGCAAGTCTTAACTTGCACAAGAATATTAGTACGTGTATGACTACCATAATATTTTTCCATCGTTAGAATTTAGATTATTAATTTATTTATAAAGAGATTCATTTTAAAAATTATCCCTCATAACGTGAATATCTTGAACAAAACCTACATAAGTGATAAATAATATGGACTGTTAAGATTCGTTAATAAAATTGGTGCTATGATAATGCCTTGGGATTTACAAATAGAATAAAACAAATACAATATAATAGGAAAAAAAAGATTATATAAAACTGCACTATTTTGTCTGAATATTGCCAATTTAATAAATAAAGCTACTGTAGATAATATAACTGGACAATACTTATATAGATTTGTTATCGTTCGTTTGAAAATAGACAAGCAGACATAAAATTCGAATTCCGATCGTTTGTAAATGCAGAAAATTATAAAATTGTAGATCTTTCTGAAAATGTCATATGTGTATTGATGTCCTGTTATTGAAGTAATGTAGGTAGTGTTATATGAATGTTGCTCATTTTCTCCGTCGTCTTGCCTTTTGGCTTGCCTTATGTATGTCCATTATACCCTATATTTAAGTATAATTATGAAAAGAATCAAAAATAAAAACCTATTTATAAAAAAAAAAACTCATGAATGGCACGTCTTTAATTAGTGTCATATAAAACAGGGATCATGGTAATTTAATCTACTGTACTTATAAATTATGTGGTCCATTTAAATTACAATTATGGCTATAGTTTTAATAATTAGATTTTATTGTTTTTTTTTGTATAGATTTTTTTATACTATTAAATGGTTTATAATATTTGTGTTTTTTCTCTGATACTACATTGAAACCCGTTTGACTATATTGCCTTGACTAACAATCGAACCCAGTACCTCTGATATCAACGTAGAGATTGTTTTTATAGTCTAGCGTTAAGGAATCTACTCTGTTGATGAAGAGTTGTCACTCCAAGCAACTAGTAAAGAGGCATTGGAGCGTATTAGGTAGACATGACTACAAAGACTAATACTAATATGTAAGAACAATACATTTTCCCCCTTAAAGTATAACGGATATTCAAGTTATCCTAGAATGTTTGTTTAAAGTATATAGAACCTATAAAAGACGATAAGACCATTAATACACATTTGTATAAATAGTCGTTTTTCCTTTATTATTACTTCTTATCTCCGGAACTGCGCATCATGAAATCTATACTAATATTATAAAGATGTTGTTTTTATGTTTGTATGCATCGAATTGGCTCCGAAACTACTAGACTGATTTTTAAAATTTCACCTACGAGAGGCTACTTCATATGCGATGACCATATGCTGTTTTATTCCGAAAAACAGTTAATAAAGGGATGAAAATGGGAGTGGAAGTTTGTATGGGGAATAGGGAATATGCGTCTGATTAAAAAAAGGGTTAAATATATTTTATCACAATCGTTATTGCTTTAGAATAAAGTCTATCTAAATATTTTTCTTTTCAAAATTAGTTCGTTGTCGTCTTGAAAATAATTATTAAAAAGTCCAAAATAAATGCGGTAATTTCAAAATATTTAAACGCCATGCTACTACTTGTCAGAGCGGATGTGACGAAAATGTACACGTATAGGGATGTCGTTGTTACAAAAATATAACATCGATGCAATAACATCAATGTATTATGTCGCAAAATAAACAACTGATTACAATTTAAATGATGTTTTAGGCTTTTATTTTTATTTCACCAATTTGGTAAATTATATGATTTATTAAAAAAGTCTATTATACTTTAAAAAATCGATTAGTCCATATTGATTTAAAGTGTCATATCTCTAGTCGTGTACTTTGACGTCACGACAAGAGCGCGCCAAAAATTCCGGTGTTTAAACTGCTCGTAGCTATTACTTATTTTCATCAATTATTTATGTTACAAAATTTAGTTTTTCGGTGCCGGGATTTTTTTTACAGTTATATATCGAAGTAAATTATAATATAAAAACATTTTCCGAAAATAAGCATATTCCCTATTAATACGTTACTATAGTAACATTGTTATTAATCAATTTATCATCGTGTCATGATATGAATCGATATCCAAATAAACAGTTCCCTAGGGACCACGCGGGCGAAGCCGCTTGCGGATAGCTAGTAATATAAAGGATATCTCACCTTCCTGTTCTTTTGTGTGTTTTGTTTTTTTATATTCAATAGGTATTGGATTTTATGATATAGGTAATTTTTTCCACATCTTTAGATTCGTTCAATTGTTTCATGAATAATTAAAAATTATTAATTGAAGCAATTTAATTGCAACGTGCAGGTAAATGTGAAATTGCAGCGATTGACAAGTTTAAATTTACATTGGTCGATAGTGCCCACATGCGGAGTGCGGACGATCACTATACTTATTTTCAGTAGGCGATTATAGACTATCATTAGTTAAGCCACTACTGCAAGCACATTTCCATTGGTCTATAGGCCCCGCATGTAGTGTGCGTTGAATTCTGTGCTTATTTTCACTATACAGTCATCGACTCTTTTCGTGACGTCACAAGCGAGTCGTAGGCCAAAGATGTTCGGTGCGAAAACACGTAGTTTTAAATAATCTATAACTTGGTCATTCATTAACGAATTTCAATTTTGTTTTCTGGTTTATTTGAGTTTTGATCAATATTCTTATCAACATCATGTAACTTCTTAATTAATTTAAATGCTATTTAATCGCTTAATAAATTTATTGTAAGTAAGAGTAATCGATTAACACCCAACACTAATTGACGGATACGTATAATATAATAAAAATTACAAAGGAAATAAATAACACAACGACATTGACATACACTGTAAATATATTTATTTTGAACAGAAATAGATTACATTGATCATTTATACATATATTTAATTACGCGATGGTAGTACACTATTTAATCGAGTCGAGACATTATTGGAACAAGTTATAAACTCTATAAAAATATGTGATCTAGGATTAAATATTTTCATTACATATTATTAATTATCAAACAAAGATGTGTCATATATTTTAATTCAATGGACGAAGAAATACACAAGGAAGGTACTGTACAGTACTGGGTACAAAACAATACAGTACTGGGTACAAAATCCTACTTATATGTACGTAAACTACCGGAACAAATTCTGGCGAAGGACATTTCGATGGCATTACAGATTGTATTGATATATTTTATCTATTTAATGCGTTATGCCGGTCGTCTTAGTGCCTTGTGGAAACAATTGTTAAGTAAATGCCTAAATCTCTGATTAAAAAAATATATATCACGATAAAAAGTCCATTCAATCAAATATTAATAATGTGATAGAGATTTTCCTATTACATATGCTGTTATAGGAAAATCTCCCGATCAATATCATAATGATGTCCGATTAATTAAAATAAAAATAATTACATTAATATCACAAAGTTTTCAAACGTTAACATAATTATTATAATTCAGTTACAAATATACATTAATCAGATATATAGTATTGGAAACAAAGTCAGGTACGAACCTATACAAAAAATATACATTTGAGATTGTGCTTACGATACTCATTGACAAACTATCTACATATTTATATTTTTATTTACACACGCAGGAAATCCACAAAAAGTTACGAAACGAGGCCTCTGTCAATCAATTTTGAACTCAACTATCAACACATTAAGGCATACAATTGATCGAATGATTCGGCCTCTTGCAGTAAACCTTACTTGGCGACATAAATTTATGTTTACTACTAGTGAGATCTATTACAGTTTTTTTTTTCAACTCATTAATTTTTAAAACGATTTACGAATATTATAATTATTAATAACATTTTAAAAGCATTATCTCAACAACGATAAATAAACTATCAGATAATTAAGTAATTAATAAGTAAAATACAAGTTACAGCTAATAACGGCAATATTATAATTGGTATAATCAACAATAATAATTGCATTAAAATACAATAACTTATGGGGATCTTGAAATTTAACATTAATTCGAAGGACGTTGGATATATTTACTTTTAATACGAAACTGTTCATATTTTATATACCTATGTAAATCCTTATAAGTTATACCTATGTAAATCCTTATAAGTGAATCTAGAGTTGCCGTCGGAATTTATTGATATTAAAATGTTGTCTTAAATTTCACGTAAAAGTTTTGGCTGAAATGAAAGGATAAAAAGGTGTACTATACAACAGTGCATGTCGCATAAATGTGACTATTTTTAAATATATAAGTAACCGTTACTCCATTTAATTACTTAAATAAAATGTGAGTTATAACTGCATAATATGCCAACAATATTTTTGTATGCAAATATTCTTGACCGGGTATGAGCCATTAAGTTTCTTTTCTTAAATTAACTTGTCACGATTTGCAATAAAATTATAGCAAAACAGCGTTACGAATCGCAACTGAATTGGATAAGTATCTTATGGTAAAATAAGCGAAAGTAAAATTAGTGTTTTAAAATGTTTAATTGTACGTACAACGTCAAATAATTTAAAATATCATTCATTTGTTTTAGATTTAGAGTTGATACTCAATAATTCTAGGCAGTGGCGGACTAAGGGGAGGCGAAGGGGGCGGTCCGCCCGGGCCTATGGTTCTGGGGGGCTGTAAAATCCCTTGATATCATTATAAATTTGGGTTGGAGGCCCCATAAACAAATAAGTACGGCCTGTAATTGGGAGGGAGGTGCTTGCCTTACCGGGCCCATAGGGTTAGTCCGCCACCGATTCTAGGTTGCCTAATTTGGATACATTCAATAACATTCTTTCATGCGTTGTGAATAAATTATTACTTTAAAATCAGTACTTATAATAGTAAATAAAAAAGAACATTTAACTATCTCAATTAATATACAATCATCAATAATTATTAAACTTATAATTTAAAAAAGGTATTCAATATATAATTTAAAACAAAAATAAAACTCACCAGGTGGGATTTTGTGTCATTTGAAGATCTGACACATTTAATTTGTGGCAAAGTCAGCGTCATTTGGACACGGTCGAATAACAAACAATAGGACTACCTACTATTTATGATTTTTTTTTCCAATCGTGCATTAATTATTATGTTTTCTTAAATATATTTAAGTTTGAAATTTTTCTCTAGAATGCATACCCATCAATTGTCACATCACAGTGACTTCACATTTTGCCAAACATTAGAATGACTGGTTAAATATAACCAATGCTAGTTAAATTTGATGTTAAGTACATATTTTCCTACATTATCAAATACATGATCCAAATCCACCTGTTCCACCAGTCATATGATAATGAGTCCGAATAGACGGCGCTATATTATTAGGTACCTTATTTACATACATAGAGAAACTAAATTGGTTCCTATGATTTGAAACTACACTTCCAAGCACATATTTCTCTTAGTTCTAGTGTTGACCTTCATGTGAAATCTTACTCCGTGGAGTTAAAGTTGAAAATTGTGACATAAAGAAAATAATATTAGAAGTGCATAACGCGTACACGAAAATAAGATCTTCAACATAATGGTGTATGGTCGAAAATCATCTAATTTACAGAAATGTTAGGTGGAACATATATTTAGATGATTGTATAATTGGAATAGGTGCCTTAATTCGATCTGTCTGTTCTAGTAAATACGATTGCCTTCTAATTGGTAATGATAAGGTCATATATATAAAGTCAAAACAATTAAGCATCATCATTTAAAGTTAAGCACGTCTCAAACCGTACTTAAACCACCTTAGACATCACTAAAACAGGTTTCCATTTCTTTCGTTTTTTATTACAGTTGACAGCAGCTTGATAAAACTACAACTTTTCGCCATGTGAAATGTAAAAAAAACTTAAATTATTGTAAATGATCTGTGGAGATCTTATACATATGTCAATTCAGAAACCGTCCGTCAGTTTTACAATAAACAATAGTTAATAGACTGTCACGCTTGTGTTTGTATAATTACAATTGGTATAATATTACACACAGCACCATATACAAACAAAAACGTTAACACAAATATACATTTTCAATTGTATAAAAAAGGCAGTGAACTTTGGAATGTGGCAAGAAAATTAAATACACAAGTATCAATTTAATAATGCTTAATACACAAGGTGTGTTATAGTAAAAATAAAAACAAATATACAATAGCTAAAATATAACATAATTCCTATGTTTTAACTACCCAATGGTAGTTTTTGCTTCATTACAACTTTGTAGTTGATAAATATTTAACTTTATACCTTATAAGGTACAAACACGACATCTTACATATACACTAAGCCTTTCACATAACAGTGCATCATTTCAAAATTCCTCTAATCTCAAGGCGGTACATATCATACCTAATTTGTCTTTTCTGGATAATTATCACATGAAATACCAGTAGTAATTATCTTAGTTCATTCTGAATCTTATCTACCAGCAATAAGATTGTAAATTGAACTTACACGTGTTGATAGGGTCTCCAAAGTGCATTTTAGATTGTATTTTCTTATAGTACATGCACTAGGAGCATTCCCACAGCCGCGCCCACGGTGAGACCGACGCTTAGCATAGTAGCGATAACCGAAGACGCCTTCTCCCGCTCGTGTAATTCCACCACCCTGGCGGTGAATACACAACGTAGTTCCTTAGTCAATAATAACGTAAAACACCTAGAGTACGTTCATATTTTTAGGGCTCCGTATCATAAAGGGTAAAACGGGTAATTACTAAGATTTCGCTGTCCGTCTGTCTATCACCAGGGCGTATCTCATTAACGTGATAGTTGGACAGTTGAAATTTTCACAGATGTATTTCTTTTGCCGATACAACAACAAATACTAAAAAATCGAATAAAATAAATGTTTAAGGAAACTCCCATACATCAAACGTGTTTTTTTTTCTCGTTTCAGGTACGGGAACCCTTCGTGCGCGATCCGACTCGCACTTAACCGATTATTTTCGCAATCGACTTAATATATAAAGTGTAATATTATATGCCAGGCCTTCGTGGGGTGGATTAGTTAAGTATACTGATCAACTTTTACTATAGGAGCAACACTGATTTCACGAAAAAATAATCAGCTGTTTCATACTGTCAACTGTTTGTATGACATGGATTGGGTTGGGTTGTTAATAGGTTTAAAAGTTCACGACCTCGTCTATAAGATTTGAACAAATCCTAAATGAACGATATATATTTTCTTTGGCAACAATTAGTTATTTTCTAATTTTAATAAATGTGTATACAAACAATTTCTCAATATTTTCTATATTGATTTATAAAAAAGAAAAAAATTGAACATCGGGACTGTCGCTATACGTTTGATATGTCCATAAATAACAGTCACAATAAGATGACACCTTTTTACAATCAATTTTGAACTCTTCGCTTGTTGAATTTAAAATTTAAAATCAATCGGAAGAGACAGTTTTGTAATCATTATAACTGTACCTAAGTACATGAAATTGTACTCTCGTATCTAATGTCAATAGACCAGTTAGGTCAACTAATTAGGAGTGCAAGACGTGCGTTATCAGTTAGAGATATAGTTAGAATAAACACTTTATGTAAGAAGCAGAACAGTCATAATTAGTATTCTCTCAGCATACTTAAACATTCTTAAGATAGAGACAAAAATGGTTACTTTATAATGATTTTCTGATTTATGCAGAAAGTGTTGAAGTTTTTTTTTTCTAACAAGTCTTAGATCAATATCAATTAAATCCATAAAATGTATTTTTACTGTGTCAACAATTCAGATTCCTTGTCAAAACTAAACATAAGCAGAATAGACGCATTCTTCTATAGTAAAGAGGGTTCTGCGAAATTATATACCTATGCAATTCAGGTGTTTACAACATTCTAAAACGGATTTTGCATTACTTATTAAAATATCCCTAAAATTATTGTATTCCTTTTTTTATTAAAGTTATTATATCTTTAGCATGTTTAAAAATGTCTCGATTAATTGAACTGAATTAAAAAATCTATATGTTTTAAAACCTTATTTTCTCAAGGTTAAATCTCGATATGATAGATTTTCAGAACAAATTCATGTATGTATCGTCAATGTTGTCATTTTGAACAATGACGTCTTATTTTTCAAGTGTCGTGTTACGGTCACGTGACAAACAGTTTGAAAATCATCCTAAATGAGAAAATTATTTAAAATTTGTAATTAATTAAATGTAAATGTATAAACTGAATGCAGCTCACCGTGTTGAATTGATCATGACTATATTAGTCAAGTAACCGTTGGTGAACGCGAACACTATCATTATGATGATGTACTCCCAGTCCCAGAGGAACACCACGGGCAGGTGTTTCCGCGGCTGGGCGTTACAGAGCATCAGCATCGGTATGCCCACTACTCGAAGTATACTCGCGGCCGCTATCACCCATTGGTTATCGGGCTGCAAAAATAAAACAACATATTCTTGACGGGTATAGAACATGACGGATGGTGCATTAGTTAAACTATCGCAAGGGCCAGTCATAGGATGGATGATCAAAAATGAATTATTAAAATGATTGTGGGCAACAGTGACGTAAAACAGAACCTAATTAATAATTTTAATGTGTGAAAAAAATCGGCAAAAGAAAATATTTTCAAGAAATAATTTCACAATAATATTTCATTTGAATTAAACTTACCCGTAAAATAAGTCCAGCTACCAGTCTACCGGAATAATCTCCACAGTTGAAGATCAAATAATTGACTACCGGTACAAAAAATATATCTGAAAGAAGGAAAGAAAGCAAAAATAAATATATAGAAATACTCGTCGGAACACAAGTTATTCTAAATGTGCTCCCATAATTACAAAACATCAAAATACATAGTTATTTTTTTAGATGTATTTATTAATTCTTTACTAGGTTTAATGTGTTTTTTTACATAATCTTCCTTGCCAATTTGGAGCAATAGCGCGCTCTCTTTCATTTGTTAATTCACAAAAAAAAGATTTGGTGTATAAAGTTATGTGCTCAATGGTGATTATTTGATATCTATCATGACTTATTGTGTTTTTTTATTTTTTTTATTTAATTTGATTTACCAACATTTAATACATTATTACATACCATAATAACTACATTTAGCTCACAAGAAGAAATGTATCAAACAATTACAGGTAAATACCACATGCAATATTACTATTATTTTTTTTTTTTATATGACATTGGAGATCCATCAACAAATTTACCTACCGAATCTCCAACCCTCAACAACTAGTTAACAAACTTTTTCAATTAATTTTTACTAAGACTTTGTATTGTCCAAGTCACCCTGCTCACGTCCGTTCTATCGTCAAAACTGCTGCCTCAAAACGATGACAGGAGACAAAAGTCACGGTTAAAAAAACCATCATTGTGCACGTTGCTTTACGCATTAGGTCTCAATCTTCAAATAATTAATTCCATATTTAATATTGTGTCTACAACAGATTTCTAGAAGAGAACAATTGATTTGGAGGAAATTAACAATCAAAAGATACACTTTAACAAACAATTTATTGATTATTACTTTTTAAAAATTCAATATATTAATATGAAATTTTCTTTTTTTCTTGTATATTTACTTGCGAGAAAATTGTGCACCTTTAAAATATTCTATGGCCATTACTAAGCCATTTCAATTAAATATTGAATAATATAAGATTTTTTTATAAATTACAGTGTCTGTGACAAAAATATTGTAATTAAATTACTTTACAAATAAGGTAGTCATGAGACCACTCAATTATTATTTTATAGTTCTCTCTTGCACATAATTAGCTAATTTATAACATTTAGGTACATTGGCGTAGCTAGGGATTTATGTTAAGTGAGGGTATTTTTCTAGGGTGGGTCCATAGCTACGCCTATGTTTAGGTTTAGGAAGATAAGTAATATAAGCAGAACGGATGGGCCAATTTAGCTGATTTTGTTTTTGAAATATTTCTAGAATTGTAATAGAGGTTTAAGATTCTTATATACGGAGAAATTACAATAACAGTAAAAGCAACAATTTTATTATCCCATACAAAATGTTTGTACCTGTTGTAAATGTTTAAGATAGTGCGTGGGCAGAGATTAGATTCAATGAACGTTGACACGTCATTTAAGGTATGTTCCGATATACACTGCGAGCACTGCGCAGTGGTCTTACTGCTGAAAAATCCGTTCCGTTATGGACTGCCAGTACACTGCTACACAGTACCCTAGGGAAACTTATGACGTCATAAATTGCCGCCATATTTGTACTGTGAGCACTGGAGATTTCGAGGTAAGGTGCTCGCAGTGCTTTTGATCACGTGATCAGTCGAAACAGAATCAGAAAATGATAAGTTTCTAAATAAACAAAAAAAAATACTTACGTTTATTTATAAGATGGATTTAATTGAAAAAAGGGAATATTTATATTCACCTTGCATTAACAAATTTGAAAATGTCGCCAAAAAATAGGATTAACAGTATACTGGACTGCGTTCCGTTTTAAAAAGTCACCAGTATAACTAGCTATAAAGGAACGGGCTTCCAGTATACTAAATTGACGTCATACTGTTCAGTGGTCGCAGTGTATATCGGAATATACCCTTAAGTTAGTATTAGTACAATAAATAGTAAAGATTTAAAAAGTTGGTACAACTCAAATTACTCACAATGGCGGCCTTGGTTACAAAAACATATAGTCATATATTTTTGTATTTAACCACATTAAATAAGCAATATTTGCTTACCGATTTGTATAATGTGACATCTTTTTTTTTGTTATCAAATAACATAAAAAAGGTCAACCCCCCACTCAGATGAACATTAAAATAGATTTACCATTCTTCCTAATTTTAGCATCATTGACACTTTATCTCTCTTAACTTGTGTCAAATTGCAAATCTAGCTGAAAGCAAATGTTTCTACTACATAAATGCTCTGCTTTACTGCTATCTCAGATGATTTCTCAGTTTTATATCAAAGGTGTTATATAACAATTCAAAAAATTATATTATTGTGTGAATTAGATAATGCAAGCGTTCTTGGGTTTTCCAAAAAAATTATCAGAGTTATAATCATTAAAAAAAATGTTCCAACCAAATCGATGGTAATTTATTTTCCAAAACCTCATATGACTCAAGCGTCAAACTAATTTTCTATTATACTTAAAAAATAACAAAAGATATATCAATTATAAACTGGCCGGCTTTACTATTGAGAGAATAGCGATTCTTCCTAACATGTGCACTATTATAGTTGTTCAAAGGAATCTCAAAACGTCTATATATTAGACTAAGTTTAAAAAATAAATAGGTTCTATAATTTACAGTTTAAAAGATTTAGAATTATTAAAAAAAATAACTTAATTATAATTAATAATAACATGTATTGCATGCTCTTGAATAAAATTAGTTTTTAAATTCACATCTTTGCTTATATACTATCAAAATGTTCGAGGTCTGCGTACCAAAACTAATTCATTTTATCAAAATTTATGTAACTCAAACTATGATATTGTCATCCTTACTGAAACTTGGCTTAACAGTAGCATCTTGAGCACAGAGCTTTTTAACGATAGATATTTTGTATATAGACGAGATAGAGAGACGTCGGGTTATCACTGTGGTAGGGATGGAGGAGGCGTGCTAATAGCGGTCTCTAGAAAATATAATTCTAAAAGAATGATTGCATGGGAAAGTCAATGCGAGGATCTTTGGGTTGTGATTGGACAAGTGGGTAGTTTACAACAGGGTCATAATGATGAAATTGCTATTTGTGCCGTTTATATACCACCACCGGTCAAACCTAATGTGTTAGGCCATTTTCTTGATAATTATAATTCTGTGAAGGACAAATTACATTGTCACCCTTGTTTGGTGGGTGACTTTAATCTCAGTGCTATAAACTGGGACTTATTTAATACACAGCAGAACTACTGCCACAGTTCAGCACTCTGTAATGACCTTATAGACTTTTGCAACATTAATAATTACCGACAGTGCAACAATATTCTCAACAACAAGAACAAAATTCTAGATCTAATAATGATTGACAGTGACCTGCCATCATGCTGTGTTACAACTTCAACAGATATATTAAGCACTGTCGACCCACTACATCCACCGCTTGAATTTCAGTTTTCTTTGGTTCTGGAAAAAACACTTGATGCAAATCCTAATAACAATAGATTGAATTTCCATAAAGCAGACTATACAGCTGTAAACACTTTTTTTGCAGAGGTAGATTGGTTCGAATTATTTACAGAAAATGATGATGTGGATGGAATGGTGGAAAAATTTTATAAGATTATGCTTGATACAATTGACAAGTTTGTACCTAACTATGGCTACAATAAAGATAACTATCCAACTTGGTTTAACCGTGAACTAATTGCGAGACTTAGGGAAAAACATAAGTATAGAGCTAAATACAAAAAATATAAAAACCCCATGGACAAAATTTCATTTGATATCCTAGCTAAGAGGTGCAAAAAACTAAGTACAAATTGTTATCAAAGATATATGTCAAGAATAGAGTCAAGTATTGAGAAAAATCCAAAACAATTTTGGACTTATATGAAAACCAAAAGAGGTGGTAAGAGTGCATACCCTGCATCAATGCATAATGACTCTTCTGAGTCTGCTACAGGTGGTGAAATAAGTAACTTATTTGCTACAGCTTTTGCATCTATTTACTTAAGCGGCAGTCAAAATTCATTTCGCCCATATACTGATTACCAGGGAGTTATCACCGGTGCAGATTCATTGGCAAGAATATCGGTCGACAAAAAAGAGCTTTTAAATAAATTACAGAACTTAGATGTAACTAAGGGGACAGGTTGTGATGGCATACCTCCTTTTTTTATTAAACAATGTGCGTCAAATTTATTAACACCCATCTGGCTTATCTACAACAAGTCATTGAAAACAGGAATTTTTCCTAGTCGGTGGAAGTTGGCCAAAGTGGTACCTATATTTAAGTCCGGGGATAAAAATAATGTTAAAAACTACAGGCCCATCTCAATATTACCTACACTAGCAAAACTATTAGAGAGCTTTGTGTGTCCTATTGTACAAAACTATTTTAAAAAATACACTTCTGATCACCAACATGGATTTATCAAGGCAAGGTCCACAAATACTAAAGCTAGAATACTAAAGCTAATCTAGTCAGCTTTACTGAGTCTGTGATCGAAGCTATGGACGGAAACAAGCAGGTGGATGTTGTTTACACCGATTTCAGTAAAGCATTTGACAGAGTTCCAATTGACATGCTTCTTTGCAAACTTGATGGGTATGGTTTTACGGGGCCTATTCTGCGTTGGTTCGAATCATACCTAACTAATAGAGCAATGTACGTCGTTGTTAATGGTTACAATTCTGAAACATATTCTATCGTATCTGGTGTTCCGCAAGGCTGGCACTTGGGCCCAGTACTCTTCAATATTTATATAAATGATTTGCCAGAAATATTTCGGTTTTCTTCATGTTTCCTATTTGCTGACGATTTGAAGCTCTTGAAGGTCATTAAAGGGATTGAGGATGTTCAGAATATGCAGCTGGATTTGGATTCTTTAAGCATATGGTGTGAGTTGAATGGGCTCAATATTAATATAAACAAATGCAACCATATCAAATTCACGAGGAAAACAAGGAATGTAATTTCATCAAGATATTTAATTGATAAAACGAACATTAACGAGACTGAAACAGTTAGGGATCTTGGGGTGCTCTTGGACAGTAAACTCACATTTGTTCAACATATTGAGGAGACGATAAAAAAGTCTTCTAGAATGTTAGGGTTTATTATACGAAATACAAAGAGCTTTCGAAATGTTAAAACGAAATTAATATTATATAACAGTCTTGTTAGAAGTATTTTGGAATACGCTAGTGTGGTGTGGCGGCCTCATTATTCAACACACTTACTACGGATTGAGCGTATTCAAAAGAGGTTTGTAAGAAGCCTGGCATTCACGGTGGGTTTGGGTAAACGTACAGTAAGTTACAACACCATTTTGAAATGGCAACTTTAGAGAAACGGAGACAAAATTCCGATATGGTTTTTCTTTATAAATTATTGAACCACCAAATCGATTGCCCTTTTTTATTAAGTAGAATTAGATTTCGGGTGCCAGTTAGATATCCACGTAAACCAATCGCACCTCTCTGTCCACCTTTTCGTCATACCAAGGCAGGCTCAAATTCCGCAATTTCTCGAGTGTGTAAAATATATAATAACTGCTGCAGTGATGACATGGACGTCCACGCTATGAGCTTGAGAAAATTTAAGTTGCAAATCAACAGTCGAGATGTTTAGTTTTTTTTTTTAGTAATCTTAGTTGTGCTGTTATTATACATTATTATTAATTAACGTCAATTTTCATGCATGCTGTGTTTGCCTTTATATAACAAATACATTTATATTTAGTCATAAGATGTTCCATAGACGATAGAAATAATGTTATTTGTTTCTGGTAAACCTAAATAAATAAATAAATAAATAAATACAGTTAAAGTAAACGTGCTTCCTAAAAAAAGTTGAAGATACAAATACTCACTGTTCCAATCCGTTCCTTTGGTCACTGGGTGAGATTCAACCAGCACAGTCACCGCTGGGTACACAGCCATGCTCACAGCGAACACGGCAAAGATACTGAACGCGTACACCCAAATCTTCTTCAGTATCGCGGTCATCGACACCTCCCTGTGCCTATTGGCTGCGATACCGCCAGAACCTCTAAGTATATTATAAGTGAAGAAGTCGATCTTATACAACATCGCATAAGATATCAACGAGGTTATAACCATGATGTCTGCTATCACGAAGTATATGAGAGCGCTGTGGAGCGGCGATATTTTGAAGGCGAGTGATATTATTTGCGCTATGGCAGCCAGTATCCCGCCGAGGGATTGGCCACTGATCACTGCAGCCATGTATTCCTTAGAGAAACGACTCGCTATGCCCACTAAGCCACCGATGAAGACGGCGCTGGCCGCTGTAAAAAAACAATGTAATGATTGAAAACAAATGTGGATGAAAACAAAAATGATTCTACGTGAATAAGAGCTCAGATCTATTCGACGGTAGCTTCTCTAAGACTTTGAATGTGTTTTGTAAAGATGAGCACACACACGAATGTCAGAAATCAAGCATGGTTCTGATAGAAAAGATTAATACAAAAACGCATCCAAAGTGCTATTACCGTGGAAGATTGGATTGAAATGCACAATAAATTCCTCAAAGAAAATAAGCAGGCAGTGCATTGCACAGTATTTACAGCCTGAGTTTAAGAAGCCTGATTGAATAGGCACTTTTCTGAACAGACATGTTGTGGCATCTTATCACCTGAGGCTCAATTCTGATAATTATAACATGGCGTTCCAATAGCTTCCTTTATGTCACAGTTCTTAACACTTTATTACAAAAGTCATCATTGATTCATCAAGACGCTATTAGTGTTAACGTTAATAGAATCGGGGTCCAGATGGTGGCCAATGCCTAATCAGCGCTAGATAATAGTGTATGAAAGTTGAGACCTTCAGAATCCTTATCATAAACCCTGATAACTGATCAAGATATTCGTACCTAGTATTATGAATACCTATTATTTTTGCTTTTGATAGATAAGATACATCTGTGTAATCAAATATTATTTATTTACATACTTAAACTCATTTTGTTTAAGTTGATAAATTAAGCATGATTGTTTATAAATTATAAATGTTATTGTTTATCCACCATCGGTAGCATGCGAGTTATTTCCTCTAAGTACATATACACCGTATCATTAACGATGCGCACTGGCTTTGAACCCGGAGAAACGCTAAGAAAATCTACAGGTCAATTTTACTAATGTTTACTAATAATCGTGTCTCAATATAATCTCCATTACTTGCATTTTACCGTTGTTCTATATACCTAAAGTCTAATAATATTAGTGCAATTTCTTCCTCACTCATCAACGGTGCTTAGATATATAATAATATTGGACTTAAGGTAGATATTACAATGGCAAAATAACTACTACTGGAGTTGAAATTTTATTACGTAAACATTAACAGAATTGGCCTGCTGTAGTCATGCGTATGCGCACAGTGTACGCACGGCGCACATACTAGCAAACATAAGGAGTACTACATTTTGACACACAAGGTATTATACAAAAAAGTTCTAAATAGCTACTCTTTACTAAGAAGATTAGAAAAAGTACGAACTTTGAGTTAAAACATTCGTTATATTATTATCTAAAATTATTTACACAAAAACCCTAATCTCTAAGCCCATGCCTAATCTAAGAGTACTAATGCCCGTTTTTACTAAACTTAGGAGTCGCCCAAATTTGTCGCCTAAATATTTAGGAATCGCCTAAGGTAAAAATGCATTTCACCGTTGACTATGAACCTAACGAAATTAAGCAATGCGCTAGGCATTTGCGTATATGACAGGTCAGAAATATGTTAAAGGATAAAAAAAATTATATTAAACTAATTTGCTTAAGCGATTCGTAATATCAGGCGTTTCCTAGTTAAGCTATGCCTTATTCTAGGTTAGTGAAAATGGGTGTAAGTATTTTATAGAATCGATGTTACTTTGTTTGTCTTACTTGTGCAGTCAACAATATTATTTTTTATATTTAGTATGTTATGGAAACAAAGATGCCACTGCAATATATACAAGGTTATAAGCACAAGGGTTACCGTTGAAATATTAACTATCTGTCCCACTTTAGGTATAAATAATGATATTATGTCTTATCTGCTGGAAATGTAACAAGCATTAATATGAAAACTTTGATAGCCTTAGATTTATAACTTAGAAACGCGATGTCTTAGTAGCTCCAATAAATCATAATTTATATTTCTATTGATGAAACCGAATCGTTGAGATAATTAATTTAAATGGCTATTTGAAAGAATTTGTACAAGCCTTTTACAAAGTTATATTATTAATACAATAAAAAAATACATAATATTGCGCAAGTTTCATCGATATTATGTATATAAATGATTTTTTTATAGCAATCAAATATCAATAAAAATATTATTATAGTCTATACCGCAGTTACGTGATCTTAAACTGTAAATTCTCTAATTGATTTCAAACCGCAAATCTGGCATTTAGCTAAAATATTACCTTTTGGTATTATATTATATTATATTTTTATTATTATATTATATTTGGTATTATTTAGGTATTATATAGTGGAACAATTTTAAAAATTCTTTCACCTAACGGGAAGCTACATCAGACGCATGCGACGCAGATTATAATAGGTATGATAACAAATTGTTCTTTGTTAGTCCGTCAGGTAGATTATTGAAAAATATCAATCACGTATTTTTTTTCGTAAACAATAAATTACGGCGACACGCTGAGTTGAAATGTCGAAAGATGTCACACATTTGTACTTTTCTATATAGTTGTGACGTAGCGAGCTCCCACTCTTCAACTTTAATTATGCAATTAATTATTTGTTAAATTGAAACAAAAAAAATGTATCGTATATTTTTCTATTATCTGACTGATGGACTAAACAGAATTAAAATTTTTCTTTTTTTTAACCAGTAATCGTTAAATAAAATACTTGTTACACACACATACGGCGAGATGTAATAAAATAATATATTCTTAGTTTGTGTTATTTTTTTTTTTTTGTTCAACTTGATATTTAAAAATAAAGCATGCACTAGTATAGTTAGTTTAGCAATATGTTATTTAATAATATATTTAATAAAACATACATTGAAAATCTACCATTAATTCACATAATAAATCTCATAAATGCTACCCAATTAATTTTTATTTATTATGATGACATAACATAAATAAATAAATTTAATAGTTTATACCAAACAAGGCAGATTTTCAGTGGGTTGAGGTATTGCTGTTATTAATATTATTATTATTGAAATAAAACTATATTTTATATCTATATATAATATCTTCATTATTGTTTGTAGTATTCTATAATCTAGCAACATTATTTCATCTCAATGAATAAACAGAAATTCTACCCTGGGAAAAAGAAATGGAAACACAAGTTTTCTTTGCTACTGTAATATTATTAAATCTTCAGTTAAGGCATAAGCTTATATATATAAGATAGGCATATTCTACAGAACCCATTCTTAACACTTGAATTTAAGGAGAGGGGTCAACTATGTCTTATTTTTTCTTACAAGCAATAAGCTTATGTAAGATCATTATGTTTTTTTATTATGTTTAAATTCAGTTTTCTTTTATCATTATAATTTAAAAAAAAGGGGAGGGGTGTTACGCATTCCTTTCTTTTAAACATAGAAGGAAGGGGCGCAAAAGTCATCTATGTTATAATAGAATGACTTACTAAATTAGTGAATAATACAAACAATTCCTTATTTTCTTATACTCCCACACTCACTACACTCATTTAATAAAACAACTTTTGAATCATTAACCATTTTTTTAAACTACAAAAAAAAAACAAAACTATTCATAAGTTGTTTTATTAAATTCCATACCTGTCATTACCACCACTGTCACCATTGTTATAATAAAGAAACCATTTTGCCAGTCGTCTGTGTCCACTTGTACGAGTGCAGTGGTCACAAGAAATGCAACGGTCACAATAAACAAAGACCCCTGCAGTCTACTCTTCATAGAAACTCTGAAAATTACTTATACTTACTTTTATGGCAAAACCTTAGTATAAAGAAAAGGATAAGTTCGATATCGAGTTGGCGCATTCTGTTTGCGATCGCGAACAGATTTTCACAAAGGTTGACTCCGATAGGCTGAATATCAGATGGGAGACCAAAAATATTTATTTCAAGCTCCTCCATATGTTGGAAGGCACATTAAGCTGTTGGTCCTGGCTACATCTGCAGTAGCTATCATCACCAACTCACAGTTAGCCACATGATATATTACGGCCTCTTTTACCAATGTGATGCTGTACCTATTAAATCAGATTGGCAGAACAGAACTATAAAAGGCCAGTGCTATAAACATGTGACATTAAGCTAATAATAATGACAAATGTAAAAGGTAAACAATAAAATATAAACTCATAATTATGAGCTCTATTGGACAGGTAATAAGGTGTAAAGCTTTAAATTGCAAACATTTGATAATAATTTTAAAATTACAATCAGAGATGGAGCCATCACTAATTAAGACGTTAAAAATAGCTTTTTCATCCAATCAAATTGAAATTGAACTTTGGATAACTGATCTAATAACACTAGCAAGTGACTCAACTCAACAGTCATTCTGTGCATATGATTAATTGTTTGAAAACCAAATGATTGAAGTATAAACACAATAGATATCAATTTCTTCATTATTAGGGTCTTTGTTCCTAGGAATAAACCGAAATTAAATATTTTCTTTAAATAAATATATTAAAAAATTGCCTAAAATTACTTTAAAAAATACTTTATACTTACAAGTGGCCATACAATGAATTCAAGATAAGGAATATCAAGTTAGGGATTGCGGTGGCGACATTCAGGTACGACGTGAACTCTGCTTGGAACTGAGACTTCCTGACCTCCGTAAACATGGTGATGTTTTTTGGATTTACATCTCGAAACTTGTACATCCAATACTAGGGAAAAATCATTACTTAATACATTTTTAAAATTTTTATTAAGGCACTTATTAATGTCTACAGGGTAAGAGCTAAATAGAAGCTTGATGGCGTAGTGAATAAGCGCTGCGGCCCGCGATTGTTGTTGTTAAGCAACTTTCGCATTGGTCTTTCACAGGATAGGTAACCAAAAAATCATTATCGCTTGCTATTTCTTCAAAGGCACATTAAGGGGTTGGCCCTAGTATGCAATTGCAGTATCAGCATTGGGCCTGTATGGAGGGTCCGTCCTCCTAACTATCCAAAAGTAGTGTGGGGACATAAAAGGGCTAATGTTCATGAAGAGCCTTAATATAAAATGCATGAGTGCTTCACAGAATAAGGCCAAAGCTAAAAAGAGATATTTTCATAACACAATACACTGATTTTCAGCCATCACCTTTTTAGTATTACACTTAAATGTTATCAAGCAGTTTATTGTACTTGAGTTATCATAAATAACAATTTAATATACATGAAGGTCTGTGACAATGTCAAATTAGTTTTTCATATCACTTTTTATTCTTTTGTTCTTTACATAAACAAATTGAATTTATTATATAATAAAAGTTATTTAGATTTAAAAATAAACAATAACAAAGTGATTAATTTCGATAGAATTTTTGTAACCATTTACAAACTAATATAGTTTCCCTTTGTAGTTCCTATTTTAAATATCAAAAAAATAAAATACCATGAAGGTCAATACTCACATCATTTGCAGTGATTAAAAAATTCCATGGCACAAGTGATGTGATCCCAAATAAATAAAACAAAATGTAAACTATTTTGTATTTATCCCGAGGTTGTTCTGAGGTGTCCAATACCTTTGTAGAACACGAATCTGTCACTAATTCTCTTTCTTCAGAATCATCAAGAAGCTCCTCCTCGTTCTCCACCGCCTCCACGTTCAGCTCGTTGTTGATAGAACCCGTGGTATCCATCGTCAATATACAAATTATTTTAACATAAATAAAATCATCAAATGCTACGACTGTAGAAGAAAATAAATTATTTTATGTTGCAGTACGGGATCCCCGTCTTCTTAAACAATTAACATGTTTCATAGAAATCAATCTTTCTCGTAACTCTTGCTTTCACAATATTTGAAAATCTTATTCTTTCGTTTTTATTGTACGACGTACATTACAATACAACTAAATACCATAGCCATACGAGCACAAACTATTTTACACACATAGGCCTCATACGAGCGAGAGAAGGAAGAAAGCACCATAGAGAACGGTAATATACTGGAAAGCACAATGACAACGATTGACAGATGACAGTATGATTTTTTTAATTCTTTTCTTCCTTTTTCAAGGTAGGCAAAGGACTTTCATCCATACAGCCACGTCATATTTTAATGGTCTCTTGATTTTCTTTTAGGTGAAGGCTAACGCCAATTCTTCAGTTAAATATCTTCGAGGATATGTATGTATATAATGCTGAATATGTATCAGTATTCTTTAGAAGGTCTCGTGTAGAGTGCGGGATATTTTCCGGATTCTTATACACTTGCAAAAGTTGATCTGCTAGAGCAAGGCGTTATATGTTGAACGACGAACAATCAAAGATAATGTGATCCAGAGTCTGATCAGCGTTATTGCATCGATTACACTTTGGGGAGTCAATTATATGCATACGATGGAGGTGAGCATTAAACCGTGCATGTCCCAATCTAAGTCTTGAAATAGCAGTGAAAAATGTTTTGCTTCTTGCTGTGTAATTTACGAACCAGGGCTTTTTTCCAATTTTACTATTGATTTCAGCGTACCATGTACCTTTTCTTAATAAAGTAATATGCCAGTCAATATTACATTGCTGCAGTAACTTATTTTTTAGAATAGGAATAATATCAGTAAATGGGATGGCAGCATTGTTATCAGGGCTGCCGCTGTTACTAATAACAGCAGTTCTCGCTAAATAATCTACGTTTCCGTTTCCTTGAACACCTATGTGAGATGGTGTTCAGATAAAATCATTTCAAAACCTTGTTGAGTAAGCTTCAACCATAAGTGTTTTATTTCATGTATTAAATAGTTTGTATCGGCAGATAATTTTTTATTTACCAAGGTTTCAAGGAGTTGGAGATATGTGGTTTATTAATAGCTTTATATTTATAGAATCTTTAGTATTCTTTCCACATTCTTCAGATAGAAAATTCTCAAATGTAAAACGCCAGTGCTTCCATTTCAGATCTGCTGCTGGAACATTTGGCTCCTCCTCAAAGCGATCTGGTCGTAGATAACGCAACATACTAGTTTTGAGTTTTCCGGAATCCTTTTCGACTTTTTCTAAAGACATTTTGAAAATAGTGTTTAACATATAAGCTGAATAAATTGTTATGAAATTAAGATAAGCCCTGAGAATTAAAGGCTAATCAGCTAATAAATAACATATAGGAAAATAGCAGAAGACAAGAGAAAAACTATGACAATAACACAGGATAATAATGACAAACATCATAGATATCTAGAGATGACGAAAGAGTACTACATCAATATACCATGCTGCCTCGTCATTAGTTAAATTAATTGTGTTTCTTTGACGGATTACTGATTGAATTAGCTCTCTGCATTGACTTAGTACTTATAACAAGACTTATAACCCCGAAAAGGACGGACAAACTCTCCGGTTGACTGGTAGAGAATGCCCCCTTAGCATTAAGTTCGCCATTTGTACATTTTAATTTGTGCAATAAAGCTTAAATAAATAAAAGTTGTAATTACAAAAAAGAACCATATCACTATCAATTTAAGTATGCTTTTAATTGCTCTTTGTGCAAAAGTTAAACCGAGCCGAGAAAGATAGATAATCTTGCTATTATAAAAAAATATCGTTTAGTAAAAATTTAGAGTAAAATAACCTTAGTGGAAACTTTATTATTTTAATGATAACTGGTTTCACATTAATTTCTTTATTATTTAATCATTACAATAATATAGTACTATTTTCAAGGCTATTTGTTCACTTATTTTCTACTTGTATCCCTTTGAAGTGTCATTTTAACGACTATGTTTACCATGAAATCTTTTGCAAATATATATGGTGCAAATATGAGTGGTCATAGCAATGTATTAATATAGATTTCCAAGAAAATTATTACTTATTACTGTTAGTCAGTAAAACCATGGACTAAAACGTACTAAAACGATGCTGTTTGCTAAGTTGTCGACTGTTATTATTTCACATGCACCATTACTAATTCAACATAAATAGTAAAAATAGGTACATCATTGTATTAATAAAATAAAACACACACGATTATAATAACGATAGTTTTATTCATTAGATTTTGTCATATCACTTAAAAGTTGTTACATATTTGTACAATTTTCGATTAAAGCACATGGAATATTTTAGTCTGGTAATAAAAATAGTACATGTTAATAATTATCTTTATGAAAAAGTAAAAAAAAAAGGTAGGTATAATTGATTTAGATTATGAAAAGTGTAAAGAAATATATGATATCACTAAAATTAAAGAAAAGGTGATGTAAAAAAGTGTGAAAATAATTAATAGAAAATTAATCTAATTAATAACGAAAAGCTATGGAATTCTAATATTATCTTAAAGTAAATAAAATAAAGTAAATTGTCTATGTATAAAAGATTTTTAACAACTAAACAAATATTCCTGATGTAATTAAACGGCACCAGGTGCACTACAAATTAATTTATAAATACTTCTCTATAATAAGGACGGACAAGTACTATTATTATACACATATATTTTTAATTAATTCTAATACATAGATATGTCTTGAATGTGTTTTTTAATAAGTAACTTTTAGTCATTGCACTTGGTCAATATTTAGGTACCTTTAAATAGATTTAAAGTTTATTTGTCGCAATATAATTTAAAATAAAGTCATGATTTTTTTATATTCATAATATTTTAATTAAACATATACGATAGTAGCCTTACAGGACACAGTGAATAAATCAAAATAATATAATTAGAATCCGATATAATGAGATCGAGTATATTTTGATGGTATATTTGATTATACTTATATTTGAATATTAAGACTACAAGTCCCGCACATACAGTCCTATTTATTACGTTCGTAAGTTCACTTAATACTATAAGTGTTTGATACAAAAAGCTGTATCTTTATTAATTAAGAATACTAAAAAAGTATTTTTCAGTTTCTACAGTATCACTTTAAATGCACAATTCTTCATCAAGACAAATCATTCAGTCTTTTTATTTCTTGCCTAACTATCAGTAAAACACGCTTCTTTATACCATGCCACGTTAATATATTTGTTTATGAATAACAAGCCGTTTTAATGAAGATTATCTATCTTTTTTTACTATAAAATTGTAGGTAACAATAAAAAATATTTTAATAGATATTGTTATTTAAGCAAAGAAAAATATTACTTTTATAAATATGCTTATGGTTTCCAAATATTGTTTATACTATCCGATGTAATAGTTAACATTCACAAATATTTATTTCTTCAATTAATTTTCCCATAACAATTTGCTAAAACTACTATTTTGGTAGTATTTTACTAAAGTGTTCACATTGCCGTTTCTAGGGGTTGACTATGTGACCGATGATCTTCGGAGATTGGCAACGGGCTGGATTCAGAATCGTCGAATTCGAAATTGGTTTCTAACAACGCTTCGGACTTAGATCTATGATGGAGTTCGGGAGTGGGCGTGTCAAACTCTCTGCTTAAATCTTGTGGACTCGAATCGTAGCTGGGAATGTTGTCCGATAGAGTTGTGTCGTAATTATATAGAGGTGGGGGTGGACTAGGCAAGTTGTCTTCGTAATACTGCTGTTGATCTGAAAAATTCGCCCAATTACATTTAAGAGTCCTTGTATAATCGTGTGGCTGACAATTCTTTTAAGGTGTCGCCATCCCTGAATTTAGCTCTATTGTGTCACTCATGTGTTGCGAATTATGAGTAACTACATAGTTTTAGCTAATTAAATCGGTATCTCATCTAAGCAAGGTATGAGATGTCGTTGAACACAAACGAAAAAAACTTTATCGACCTGATACTATCTAATATTATGACCGAATACTATCTATATTGTATTACTAGCTTTCGCCAGCGGCTTCGTCCGCGTGGACTCTAGGGAAATGTTTAGTGGGATAAAAAGTATCCTATTATCTAAGTCAGCTAACACCCTATCTGTATACCAAATTTCATCAAAATCTGTTTAGTAGTTTCGGCGTGATTGACCGATAAACATCCAAACAAAGAAACTTTCACATTTATAATATTAATAGGATAACAATGGATTTTCACATACCTGTAATATTATTCCTCTGCCCAAAAGTGGTAGTAGGTGCCGCTCCAGGCTGCGGCTGCTCCGGCATTTTAGACCTTAACTCCATTAGAAAAGAGAGCTTCGGCTGACCTCCATAATTAGGCGCACCGTACGGCCCATATATCTTTCCCTCCTTCTCCAACTCTCGTTTTAAAGCCAAACTATCTTCCGATTTATCTGGACCTCTTAAAGGCAGCGTATCAGAAGTGAAGTATTGCGAATCACTTGTAGGGGACAAAGTATCGTCATCCTGTGACCTGAGTCCTCCGGGATGATGAATTATGGGGATCTCTTCGGTCATAACAGTGTTTGTTGAAGGTGCTTCGCTTGCTGGTGTTGAATTTTCCCTATAACCCTCATTTCTATAAGCCAAATTGAAGGGTCTATTGTTGTTTTGCGGTATGGAATATTCTGGTGAAGCCGGTTTCTTGATGAACGTGCTATGTTTGAGTGGCATCACATTAGCACTGGGATTGTGTGCCTCGTATATGTCGAAGCTCTGGTTGTCTTCCATTGAGGAGTTGAATTGACTCTTCTCCATAGATTCCACGGATACAGTGGAAGCTACCATCTTTCTGTAGTCCGAACCTTTTGTTAGGGTCTCCGTAGAACGGGTGCTCTGGAAATGGGAGTTAAGTGTCATTAATAGGTGATGATGATTAATCAGCCACTGATTACACTGCTGGAGGCTTCCCTATGGATGGAATCGAATAGGAATAATGGGTCATGACCTACCACGCGAAGCCAATCCTGAATGGTGTGTGTAATATTATTATAATAGTGAAAATGTTACAAGTGCATAAAAATTGTTAGTTAGATCAGTGGTTAGACCAGTCGCCCGGATTGCAAAAGGTTCGAATCTTATCTCAGAGTTCTAGGAATAAAGTGGATTTTTAAGCATTTTTCATTAAAAATACAATTATTTCCTTTCTCTATGTTAATATTATTTACTTATACTTTTTTATTTAATATGCAAAGATATATCTTATCATATACTTCTGACCATTGCACCCAATACCCCATATTTTCCCTTTCCTTTTATTATTCTCTTCCATAGGTTGCCTGGAAGAGATTGCTGTTTAGCAATAAGGCCGCCATTTTTGTACTTTGTATTGTTTTACCGTGTAATTTCTTTCTGTTTTCCTCTCTGTATGTGTGCAATAAAGATAATATTATTATTATTATTGTTTTTTATTTATAATCTACTCTTCCTCACCCCTCGACGATTCGAGGGGTGGGAGGATTATTATTATTATTATTAAAAAGTCAAAATAATCTCACCATCTGGGCCAATTTCCTCCTGTAAGCAGTGTCAGGGAAGCTACCGTTAATGCTACCTATAGATCGCACTGAGTGGAGCGACTGTCTGATGCTGTTCCTGCGTTCCAATCGCTGAAGGTGCCTGGTGATAAGAAATATAAATTATGTTCTAAATTACTTATAATATACGTGTTCAGAATAGTCATGTTATTTTAATATGAAAAAAAAATAAGTCAGTAGATATATTTTCTTTGCCTTTTTCTCAGGAATTCGACGAAGTTGAGATAGAATGTTTTGTAATTGATTGTATACATTTGGAACCTTACAAAGTGGGACACATTATATCGTGATACGAGTGTAGACAGGAGACGAAAATAAATATATATATATTTTTACCGATAATCATAATTCAAATCTTATGATATTTATAATATTGCTTAAATTGATTATGAAAAATGTCACGTGACCACTCATATCAGAACTTGGAGAATTAAATCTTATGCATAAAAGAACGATATTAGTTTCAGTGGCGTAAGTTGGCGTTTTCGCGGGAAATTTTGAAAGCTAAATTTATTTTTAGATTTTAAACGAATATTTTTTTCTTTAAATATATTTTATGTAAATCTATAAAATAAAAATGTAAAAAAATCTATACCCCTATTGAAACTAAGTCCTATACTTTGATGGGCAGTATCCCTTATTAATCCTCTGAAGCAATGGTGTCATCGAAGACGATTGTGATGTGTACAACATTGTATCTATGGTAGATCATCAGTGGTAAAGTATTATTTAGTCAAGTTTCGCACAGGCTTGAACACTTAGTGTCTGGGGGTAGTGGTACCTGTGTTTGGACTTGGAGTACCAGCAGATGAGCGCGGCGCCCACCAGTAGTACGGCGGCCGCCAGAACACCTACAAACGCTACCGCCAACATGTCGCCGCGCCATGACATCGGATCTATTGATATCTTAGGATCTGCCCGAACCAAAAACATTGTATTTAAAAATATAAATAGGCATATGTTAAGTTATAACCAGTGGTCGGAATTAGGTAGAGTTATTCATGTACTTACACTGATTTCATACAGCGAAAGAATAAAGTGGATATGCCTCAAATCCCGAGATTAATTTTAAAGAGCAGAAAAAATCCCGTGATTTTTTAGATAAAAAGTTATTTACTTTTACACAATTTAAACTACTGCACGCACGACGTTGCCAAACTTACATCAATGACATCGGATGTCCAAAGTTGCAAAATAAAATACCATTAGAAATCCCGGGAAGGTCCACATTAATATCAACATTTCATAATTTATTAGTACATAAATAACTCTACCTAATTCCGACCTCATCATTTGTAGTTGTTAAAAACCCCCCAATATCTGTATTGGGCAAGCGTGGAGGGCCATGGGCCACACTCCTTTACCATCAGTGGAGGCCTGAGCCCCTGCAGTGGGCACATAAAAGGTCTGATGAAATTTTTTAATAACATTTTCATACATGGCAACATAAATAGCAACACAATTTTCATAACATACCTACAGATGCTGTAAAATAATAGAACCTGGATGACCAAGCTTTGAAAAGAAAATGCAATATTTTTAGGAACTTCGAAACGACGAAAACGCCCTGTAATTGGTTATCGTCGCAACCAATAACAGTTCTGTTTATGTGACGTCACACGTAACTAGGAAACTGTCATGTTAAAACAGTGTTATTAGAAATACGCAAAATTTGTATTTATATATACAATTTTTATAAACAAAACTTTAGTAGATATAAATACAAAACATAAAATTTAATTTCAATTTCTCTTATATTGATAAATAGTTAATGTCGACTTGACATATTTACCGGTATGTGACGTCACAAATACCACGTGATCAGCGCCATTATATAGAGCAGCGTTTTTTTGCGCTATTTTGGCTATTTAAACTTTAACAATTATTTTCATTGAAAATAGAACAGATTTTCATGAAATATATTGACAGTGTGTTTAAAGAAAAACATCAGATACCCTATTGTTCGTTTTAAGGTATTATTAGATAAATGCGATAAAATGAAAAAAAGCCTATGAAAATACCATAAATAATTAATTGTTCGAGTAGAAAATATGAAAGCTGAGTATTACCGATTTCGCAGATGAAAGCATTCTTCTGGTTGCAATCAGTGATGTCTACCGATGAGAAGGCGAACGACGTGCACTGTGTGACGTAATCGATGTGATTCACCCACACCCGGTCCCCGTAGGTGAACCACTGGTTCTGTCGACCTATGAACTCGTATAACGCCGCGTAGTTCACGCTGCCGCTCACGTATGGCATCGACGCGTTATCGGACTGTGCAAAAGATATATACTCTTTGATATGGATCTACTTGATATTATAGTCCCCGCAAATTGCTAATGAGTGTGTCCGCCATTTTGGTGACGTAATTGTGTTCAATATCTAATCAGCTGTTTATATTATGTAGTTGGGTTGTGTTGAGATCACACACATTTTTTGTTATATTTTTGTTGTTTTCAATTGTTTGTTATTGTTTAGTTTTATTTTTACTTTTCACGGTGATTAAAATAGCGACTGCTATTATAATTTCCACAAAATGTAAACTTGATTTCACAAAAATAAATATATCTAATGTCTCTGACTGCATAATTACCAGTGGTCGGAATTAGGTAGAGTTATTCATGTACTTACACTGATTTCATACAGCGAAAGAATAAAGTGGATATGCCTCAAATTTGTAAAATCACATCACGGGATTTTTTAAATAAAAAGTTATTTACTTTTACACAATTTAAACTACTGCACGCACGACGTTGCCAAACTTACATCAATGACATCGGATGTCCAAAGTTGCAAAATACCAATACGCGCGATGCTGCCACATTTGTAGGGAAGGTCCACATTAATATCAACATTTCGATGCAAGTACATAAATAACTCTACCTAATTCCGACCTCTGATAATTACTTATTACAAGGTTTAAAAAAAAACATCCATTCCTTTTCTTATCGCGGTATTACAAAGTAAATGTTATTTTTTTTTTAATATTTTTTATTATTTTCATTATAACTTAATATTAACATGCAATTTTTTCGAAAATTCTTGCAATAAATTAACATACTAAAAGTCAATATAAAATGAAAACAATATTTTGGAGATTATTAATTGTACCCTATTTGGTGCCTTTTAGAAATAATTTGATTGATCTTATATAATTAAATTTTCTAAAATACCATCTCCTACAACTGTCTGTCAGTATAATTAAGATTGAATAAACATTGGAATCAGTTACACAAACTCACCAAGCAGAAAAGACGCGCTTCTTCATAAGTCATCGGCGCACCTACATACATATAGCAAGTGTCCTGGACATTATCCCAGCCAGGGGGGCACTTGCCACCTCCTAATACTGTCAAGTTGTTCATATAAAACGGCCTGTAGTCAACTTCTAGGAGTAATGGATTGTCGTCTTGGTCCCTGATTCGACCAGCCACAGCCAATGTTTCATTGTAACTCCAATAGTTATGTTTAGCGTCAATACGCGTTCGCCACAGATCAAGAGAGCTGTAATGTTAATAAATATCCTTATATTTATATTGGAAGACATACATTAAGCATCTAAAACTATCTATCGTTTATGCAGTATCTAAAATAACGAAAGTACTGCATCAGCCAGACCGAAGAAATGGAGCCGACCAGGAATCAGACTCTGGGCCTAAAAGATGGCGATATTTGCAATATGTATTACTAAAATTCATTGATTAGTTTTTTTTAAATCTTTGAATATAATTATTTGACTAAATTGAAATAATGGTTAATGTAATCGAACGAATAAAAATAAAACAGCGCCATCTATTGACCATAAATCGAATAAACGTCACTCTATCACCAAAACTTAATGAAAACCAAGAAAAATAATTAGAAACACATTTTCGGTTCGATATCCTAATTTTATAACAATAGAGAAGTAGACAGAATATTAAACATAAGTAATGAAAAAGTTAATTATTACATACATAACGTCATTATCAGTTATTAGGATAATAAGATGCACATTTTTTTATAATTTACATTTTAAAAATATGTTTTAAGTAGCCTCTTCCATAATTTCCGATGTTAAAATTCACTTGAGGCATTAACTTAGGTATCTGATTATCCAATCACTAATTGTTATTTATAAATTTTGACTCACCTTGCAATATTCGGATTATAGTCAACAAAGCTATATGACCCGAGAGCCGCCATGCAACAAGAACATGCAAATTAAATAATTTTTATATCAGTCAAATTAGAGAACATTTCATACAAGATAAATAAACATGCAATAACTTTTAAAGTAGGTAGAATAACTCGAAAAATCACATCATCAAGATAAATGAAACAGGGAAGTATAATTGAACCAATTTTAACGCTGAAGTTAAATCATATACATATATTATGATACAAAATTCCGAATAACATATTATTTGTCACATATGATTAACTTTTTAATCATATTCACGAAGAATACTCACATAGATCTGTTAACGGTGATCATCTCGTAGTCGTTATCAGGGTTGAAGAAAATATTATCGACGTAATGTTGACCGGCTGTTCCGGCTACTACTGTAGCTCTACCTTCACGGTCCAGCGCATAATTTCTGAAAAAACATAATAATTATTATTTACTATAATATTTGTTTTGTATTCTAGGGTATTTATATTATCTCATGCATACAGCTTGTGTGATTAAGTCGGTATATAAATGCTTGTGCTAGGTTTAATTCCATTCTTTCTTCTTTTATCTCACTTTTCCTTTATTGATTAAAATATAAACACTGTATATTTCTTATACAAATAATGAATATGGTCAAATAGTAATCGGTTTTACATCATATTATTTTGTTATTACATAGATTTATTTACCATTCGTTACATAAGTATATATAACGTAATATTTATGAAATTAAAGTTATTAAATTGCAATAAGAAGTACTTCTTTTTCCCAATTGAACAATTATAGCCCTTGTGTTATGAAAATTTGAAATAATGAAGGTACCACAACCACCCAGACTTGAGACAACATAATAAATATAATTGTCTATAATGACTCAGCTGGAAATCAAATTGAGAGTAATCGGTGGCCTGCGAGTTGAAGATACTAGTAGACACATAGTTAATGGCATCTTGCTCTTAATGTATATATTTTCTTTTATAGATAAATCAACTCACTTATAGAATCCATTATGAGATGTGGTCTGATATATTGGCAATCTGACTTTATCAAATCCTGACACCTCCAATATCCTCTGACCAGTGTTGTCGTGTACATAGTTGTGAGTGAAGTTGGAGACGACTTGACGTAGAACTATGACGTCTTTAAACTGAGCGCGGTTCCGGGTGAAGTAATTACGGTAGATGGTTATCTCTTGGTAAGGTGAAGATTGACGTCCTAAAAAGGTAAATAAAATAATTTAATAATAATTTCTAACATTTAAAAGCATTATTTTTAATAACTTAACCATTGGACAGATTTTAGTATTTGTAACTTTAAATTATTCATTAAAGGAGTAGCATGCGCGGATATATAAATGAATACAGTACGAACTAGATGTCCCAATTAGTATCTGCTGATTGGATGATTACAAAACCAAGTATGCTAGGTAAATAACATAGCTAAATAAAAAAAGAGACTCATTTAAGGCGATTTTTAGTATACAATCTTCTTTGATAACGGTAATGGAAATTGTGAAATCACATAATTTGAAATATTAACACAGAGATATTCTTTGACCAACCTTCTACTTGAAGACATGGCAAGTCGTGATTAGCTAAGAACAGATTATTATGTATCCATCCTCGAAGGGACGTAGCCGACCCTCTGGAATCTGCTCTCACCAGCAATCCACCAACGTTGTTTCGAACAAGATTATTCTGTAAATAAATGTAGTTACAATAAGCAACCATTGCAATCTAAAGATCGAATGTGTCGTTCATTATTTATGGTTACAATTACCCTAAAGACCAGTGTTTGAGTGTTTTGCACGTCGACTCTTACAGCTGCTTGGCAAGATGTGAAATTTCCATACAACTTGAGACAGTTCCCACTCATTTCATTACGAATCATGGCTACTAATGGATTAACTTCACCCACAGACTGGTAAGTAATAGCGCCATTTCTGTTATTAATAAATTCACTATTGGAAATATTGTGCTGCACGTCACGATCTGAAAATTATAACCCAGTAAATATCTTTGTAGATAATATTATGATATTATTAAATTATTTGATAACTTACTGAATCCTATCGCTGATATTGGTAATGTAACAATTTCGGCGATAAATCCATGGACTGAGGAGGCCCCATTGGCAAACAATTTAACACTCAAGCTAGATCCTTCTGTTCTAAACAGTTTCTTCTCGTCTGGTGAACCGTTTTCTAAATAACCAATCATAGGGGCTGTAATATTGTAAATATCACCATCATACAAAGTCAACGAATCTCTTTTTCCATAGTTCTGTGTGTGATTAAATAAATTAAATTGCAATAATCTAAATCCAAACGGTTTCACTCTAAACATGCTTTTGAAAATTTTAACACAATTCACAGGATTGTTGTCATATTTGTAGTAAAGTAGTACTCTTTCTTCTACACTAATCATTTTTGTGCTATCACAGATATCGATAAGAGAAAACATATGGTAAGGAAGGTTTAGGTCTTTTAAAGGTGTAAAGCTTGATTCTTCAGATTCTCTACCTTCTCCATTGAGAGAAATGGTATTAATTCCTTCTCCCAGTACATCATTGATAGAGTTAAAAATCATATTGACCGAATCGGTAGGCGATACTAAATTTATCCCATGATAGGCACATTTGGTAATGTTAACATTTCGTATATTAGGATTTCGCATTATGCTTTGTATAGCAGGAGATTTTTCGTTATGTAAAATACCAGCACCAAAAATCTGGACGTGTGCAAGTGAGCTCTCGGCTTTTTTCATAGTTTCATGTGTGTGGTGATCATGAATACGGTGTTCATACAATGAATATTCAAATTCAGGATTAGCAAACCTGATTCCACCCCAGTAATCCAAATTTTCATCTAAATTTCTCGTTCCGCAATGAATGAAAACATAATCTGAATCCCACTTACATTCATGTCTATGACCATAAAGTTGTCCATTAAGTCTGATAGGACAGTCTTCGTAACGATCTTCTGTTCCAACACATTGTAGCGGTTCAGGCCATGACCAAATTCGTGACAGAGAATTGCTATGATATTCAACACGACGGTCGTATGCAAAATAAACATTAATTGGATCGAATCCCAACTCTCGGCAGACGACTTGAGCGTTTCTTTCAGTGAATCGATTATCGCACATAGGTACCCATTGCAATGTTGTTCTGTTGAAGTATTCTAAAAAGCCTTCATTCTTTCTTTCAACGACATTATCATTGACCGAACAATTTCTTCCTGTACAGAGCCTAATTGAATCTAGTATAACGAAGTTTTCTAACTGTCGTTTATGTTTATGATGTTTGGGAGAATATTGTCCTATTTCTCTTTTATCAAATCGATTGGCTTCAACATTACTTGCAGGTGTGACAGGTCTCATTAATATTGGTAATTGAGCATGGCCAATAGCTTGAAGGGTACCCATAACCAGAATTCCAATATTAGGAGCGAATTCCAAAACCACCCCAGGATTGATTGTAAGAGTAGTATCGGGCATGACGGTAATATCTGACTTCACTATGTACGGAGTCAAACGAGATTCTAAGGTTAGATCTGTGAGTAGTCTTCCTCCCAGTACATTCGTATCAATTTCTGAATCTGTGGTAAAAGTAGGAGATACGTTAGAATCAAAACTGTCTTCTAGTAGATATGGTAAATACGTGGCAATAGCATGATTATTCCAGTCGTCAAAGTCAAATATTTTTTTCTTGATATCCTGTTGAACAGCACTGCCCCACCAATTTTCGGAAACATCCAGATGATTGTTAATCTTGGCTGTTCGAATACCTGCAACTAAAGTGTATTGCAGATCATTATTTCCAAATAAGTTTCTACTCACTTTTACTTTTTGAATTCCTTTGAAACCGATAACGTAAGTTGGATCTGCGCTACGTATTAAAGCACCACGATTCATCAATGCACTGTGTCTATTATTTCTGACTTGATTATATGCGAAAACAGCATACACAAGACCCATAATTTCACTCTGGCTATCCATAAAGAACTGAATCATATAATGTCCGTTATTTCTCTCAATAGAATTACCATCTAGTTTCATTTTCTTTTCCATTCCTTGTATTGAAATTAGTCCATTTTTACAATTATTATCGGTAAACATATTTTTAGTTATATTTATCTCAGCAAAATGACCATCAATTATAATTCCGAAGTTTTGATTGTTACGCCATGTATTATTATGCATATAAACAGAATGTGTAAAGTTTTCATTGTATTGCCATACATACGGTAATGCGACATCAAATCCACCTAACTTATTTCTCTCGACTGTGTTATCTTGCAAAATATAATGATACAGATTATTGGAGCTCCTTAAGTCCCTCGCAAAATGAAAGATACCTTTACCATTATCAGTAATTAAGCTACTATTGACCATAATAGTTATCTCAGTTATATTACTATCATGAATATCCCAGAACGGTGTATTTACATAAATGGCTTCTTCTTTGTTATGAGCTATTTCGCAATTAAATATTTTAATGCTTTCATTAGCTTTTCGTAAGAAATGATCACCCAGTTCATTTAAATATCTATTGTAATACAAAGCTTTAACACCTCTGGTATTTCCCTTAATCCTTGAATTTATAACTTGAAGTGTTGGTACTGGTCCCTTCACAATTCGGTTTCTAAGATTTTGAACTGGGGCAACAATTGTACTAACGACTAATACAACTCCTCCTAGAGCAGCATTCCCACTTTCATATGTCAGAACAATCCCGAAACTATTACTTGTAGTTGGAAATGTGGATAAATCACGATCAAGACACCACTGAGTACTTCCGCTGTTTATATTTTGCGAATCATAAATGCAAATGTTTTCAGTAGAAAAATTATGAATTGGATTCAAAAGTTGTAAGCCAAGCACATAACCTGGGTTACATCTGATATTATATGTCTTCATCACGTTTTCACCATAGTGTTTAGAAAAAACTATATATCTTGTTTCGCCATTCACTAAACTTATATCAGTTTCGTAATCCGGAATAATTATAGGCCTGTAGTTAGATTCATCCATATTGAATCCTGGATCTAAATTAAACCATCCAGCGATTTCTCTTTGTTGTAAACTGGTCAAATGTGGATTATGGGAAATTCCAGCTACTTCGTTATTTTCTATCAGAGAAGTATAAACCTTTAAGCCCAATTGCTTAAAACTAATGCCACTTCCTCTATTGTTACTGAACTCTGAATTTCTGACGGTGTTTATGGCATCAGCACCATACAAATCGGAATATAAAACTCCTAATCCATCATGGTAATTGTTAGATATTCTTACGCTTTCGAGGCCGTGACGAGCGAAATCAATTTGAAGTGCTGGTTTAAATGAATTCGATGAATAATCAAGAAGGCCAGCCTTTTCAATAGTAACATATTGTAAATCAGTTCGTTCTGATATAACACTGAATCTTACTCCTGCCCAACTGGTTTCATAACATCTGATGCCTACGTCATTTTCATGTGTACACGAATTTTCGAATTGATCTCTAGTTTCTGCTTTGCATTTAGTTATGTCGTTATCGAATTCTGTACACTCCACGTTAGACAGTATAATATCTTCGGTCATTCCAGCAGATGGTATTTCATTGGGTTCTAAAAACCAATCATCTGGATTTAACGCAAACCCAAGTTGATTGCAAACTACGGCAGCATTGATTATGTTCCATTTATAGTTGCATACAGTGCCCCATCTCTCTTCTACTCTCACTTGTAATCTACCTTCATGTTGAGTCCGTCCACCCAACAACCTTATAGGCACAATAGGTTCAACATATCCCGGAGTAGTTGGTTCAATTTCAACATCAGTTTCATATACACTGTCATTCGTCATTGTTACTTCTTCTTTTAAAGTAAATGTAATATCGTTCGGGCGTTTCCCTCTTGCCTCTAACTTTCCACCAACCATAATACCAATAGCTGGAGGGAATTTTAAAGTTACTCCCGATTGCAGTAAAAGCTTGCCTCCAGGTCTTATATTAATATCTTTGTCAACATCATATTCTCCAGGTCTTAACATTTCTATACCCTCCACTTCACCTCCGACAACAAATGAACCAGGAACATTGAACTGGGGGACATAGAGTGAATTAAAGTTGATTTGCGTCGCCCCAGGATTACTACTATGCAATAAGTAAGGCATGTAAACTATCTTAGCAAGATTATATCTATCTTTTCTGTGAAACAATCTCTTGTACACTTTTTCCTCCTCACCGAAACCAAGCCAATTGTACGTGCAGTTCAGAATTTTACTTTGATCTTCGACATGAGAACCAATTTCGTATTGAGCTTCTGGATTATTGATTATATTTCTAAATACATCGATATTGCTCGATGCCAAAACGATTGTAGCAGCAACTCTACTTCTAGGAATAAGACGAGAAGAAACACCTTCTATGGGTTCAAATGGCTCCCGAATTTTGTTGTCTCTTAAGAAATTTCTTGAAAATAATATGTATTGAATATCACTGTATGGCGAAAGACCTAGATTCACAACAAATGGTCCTTTATTACCGAAAAAATAATTATGTTGAATATCGAATCTGGCAGGAAGTATTTCAAATTCCTCTAAATATCTGCCTTCTATCCTGTTCATAATCACCATTGCACCATAATTACCATGCTCAAAATAATTATATTCGATTCTACCTAAAACGTTTAATGCTGGTTGAACCTTTAATGGAACCTTTTGGTTTTGATAAAATCTATTATGGCCTATTTGTAAATATAGTGATTTATTGGGATTGCTTATCCGCCAACAAGTTGAAATATCAATTGTCGTTTCAACACTCGAGTTAAACCAGTTTCCGGTTATATTTAGCCAGCTGTCACCACAAAAGTTTCCATGTAATATCCCGATGTCTAAATTTTTGAATATTTCTGAGTATTCAACTACTGTAGTTTGGTTTACTGAAATGTATTCAGTTTGTTGAGTATTGTTAAGCCAAACGGCTAGTCCATAACCCTGATTAGAACTAATTATGCTTCTTGAAATATTTCTGTTTCCACCTGTAACGGTAATGTTAATACCATCACCTTGATTAAAGGATATTCTACTTTCAGTGACGTTAATATCTCCAGCTCCACTGACTACATGAAGACCAGCCACATGATTATTATTTGATATTGATGTACGATGTATATGAATTTGTGATCTTAAATTTTCAATAACAATGCCTCGTCCATTGTTATCGGAAATTATAGTGTCGGTTACATTCAGATCATATGTTTTACTAACACCTGAAGTCAATCTCAAAAATCCCACAATGTCAGTTCTGGTGTTTGCACGGAATCTAACATACATTCTGTTTCTAGTTGATGTAACACTTTGCGGTCGGGTATGGTTTCTTATACTGAACGACAATAATAATCTATCCTCTGCTGTGAGACCATCGTGCACGAATATTTCACCAGTTTCATTTTGATTCGTCAGAAGTTTAATAAAATTTAAAGTTAACACGTGATCAGATCTTGTGAAAAATCTCTGACTGCAATCTCTTTCCATGTTCGAGTACCTTGATTGTTCTATAGACATTTGTAACGGAAAAGTTTGACTTGGAGTGGATGCTAGCGTGCACAGATCAAATATTTCGCTTCGATCAAGTCTCCCATCAATATTCATTTCGTGAACTACGTATTTTATTCCATCGCCACCGTTATCATGAATAGAGCAATTTTCGATTTTAGCCATTCCATACGTAGAATTCACGTAGATACCATAACCTCTATTGTTTTGTATAGTACAATTGTTAATAATGATGGGAGCGTTGGGTGACGTCACATTAATAGCATTGAAAGCTGAGTCCGATATCTCTATGTCTTCCATAACAGGCGGCACTCCAATTATGTCTAAGGCACTCGTAGCATTGTTATCCCTCCCGAGACCAGCGTTTTTTATAGTCACGTGTACGAGTCTAGACATAGAAGTGGGAACGTAAAGCGTGTTAACCGCAGTTAGTATTCGTTCGTAGACGGCATTTTCAAACCGTATGCCCCTCCAATGTCCTCCGGAGTTACCTAATTCGTTGTCGTCGTGATGAGGAAGACATTGGATTGCAAGATCGGGATGAAAGTCGCAGACACCGGAGCCTAACTGTCTCGAATTCCAGTCGCATTGAAACAAGTCGTATTCGGTGCCTTTGCATTTCGGTTCTTCGAGCAAAAGTCGCACCCGTCGACCAGGCTGACGGTCCATCCAGTTGTAGAAAGATCCCCCCATAAATCCCAGCTGTCTACATGCTGTTTCCATGTCGTTGATTGTCCAACTGAAAACAGTAAATTGATAATTTATAATACATTTTTTTAAAGTACCTGTTGTGTCGTGTAATGTAATCGATAAAATCTCCACGTCCGAATAGCTCGCACGCCCATTTCAAGGTTTCGCCATTATGAGGTCCCAAGTTCGATTCTCTGTCGGGTCAATTAAAAAAATGAAGTTAGCTATTAGCACTCTTATTATGGACGTCTCAAAACAACGAAGGTACCACAAAACCAGACTAAAGTCAATTCGAATGTTCATTTAGTTACACTAGTCGTCCGAACGGGAAACGAACCCGGAGTCTCAGCGAAGGCGACATTTTGAAGCTAGCGTGCAAGCGAACCAATGAGCAATGGAGTTCATTCAACTTTATTATCTAAAGGTCAAATACAAGGACTTCTGTTAAATTCTTTGTGGAATTTTAATTCGATAACAATTAGATATAGCTTGCAAGTACGTACTTTCTCGTGTTTGTACACACAGAACGCCATTGGCCTCGATGTAGGAGCTGGACTCTGCCCGCGAGGATGGAAGGTCCATCCACTAAGCGTATATCAGGAATCGGTTTTGGTAGTCTTACAGGCTCTTCCGTACTTGTAAATATAATTCCACTTTGGTGGTTACCCTGCAATTAAATAAAGTCGAATTAATACAACAATGATATATCAAATATACCTACAGTATCCCATACAAATTTCTGTCTTCCCACTTTGTTTAATACTTAAATGTAGATAAATAAATAGTTATTTTATGTACCAATTCATAAATGAAACCTCCACTAGACGGAGCAAATGATTCCAGGGTCTACCAGTGGTTCACGCACCACTGTTAAGAACGAATGATTTTGATTAAATCGTTACTAATCAACGTATTATTTAAAATAATTCTATTCCTCAGAATTCTTTGTAAAATAATTATTGAATGATCCACAAACGAAATAAATAAAAGGCACATTGTTTTAAAACCAGGGTAGGTTACGTTAGACCTTCAATAAGCAAAACAGTAGTAGCGGACCAATTATCGTGTTGTTACAATGTCAAAACAATATTAGATATCTATTGTTAATTCGTATTCTAAAGCTACCTATAACACCTTTCAATTGTAAGCCTTTCAAATTGTCTACAATTCTATTGTTGTACTTTTCGCAAGACATCAATTCCGACTGAAATGTTGGCCAAATGGCATCGAGGGGCGCATTCTTGAAGAATGGGCGGACGCGCAAGCGCACCGGAGTGTTAGCAATAATATTCATTGTTGTGAAAATATTTCAGCTACAAGGACACCATTGCCAATGAAGAAATATTTACCAAGGTATAATAAAAAGGATGTACCATTTATTCGTAAGTCTACAGTACTCTGATGTCAAGGTAGCTAAAAATTGTTCAAATCAAAATATCAAAATTTAGACAATGATACACCACAATTTGGCACGCAAATAAATAATATTCAAATTACATAGTTTGTTTCGTAAAAATAGTGACATCATAAAAACCTGCGTATCGATCACATCAGATATGAACTAAGGGTTTATTTATATAAATTATGACATTTTTCGTTTAAAAGATTTTGTTGTCCAAAAGGTTTAATTTATTTAAAAAAAATCAGGACTATAAATCATTGCAAGAGTCCTCCAATATCATCGGCGCATCGTTTTATATATTTATATTTGTATACCAGACTTTTTTAAAGGCAGACTGTTCAAATACTTTCAACTTTGTAATCCATAAAAAGAACATTTTGTATTTCGATAATTTATTTGGCATAGTGTCGTCATCTGATATGTTTCAACCGAGCCACGCATTCAGTTGCCCTTGCACTTCATACAAGCTTCCTGTCCTTTCATCAACCCCATTCACGCCGTCACGCCCGCCCGCTATTGCTAACCAACTGTTGTGTTTTGTCACAAATATTGCACGATGCACATGATGCAACAACGTAACAAGATATTTTACGCATCGATTAACTCCTTTATGATTGAACATCACGGCCCCGATATCTTTAGCGTTAAGAGCTCAAATTATTTAAACAAAAAAGAAAAAATGGCTGGCTAAATTTAATTTTAATTCTGTGTAATTTTATTTTAAATTCTGCGAATGATCAGTAGCAAACTTACGTGTTTATTGTAGTACTCTTAAATATAATGATTACAGATTAAAGCAATTTAATTGACTATGGACTAACGATAAAACAAATTATGTTTGGATAGGTTTAGTACCTAGATCTCACTCATTGTTACCAATTTTATTCTAAGGCTATGCTAATATTTGCCAAATAAAAAAGACTAATGATCATAAAACATTTTTGCAAAAAAAAAAAAACTAAATGTAATAATTAATTAGTGTTTGACTCGATAAAATAAAATCGCAAAGATCTCTATCTAATTAGGTTTTATTGCATCGATTTCACGATTAATATATTCATCTTAACTCTTAACGATAAAAAAATATACACAAAAAAGGTTTTGATATAATCTAAAATAGTATTTTTTTTTTATATAACTGCATGTTTTTTTTTAATAAAAATGTATGAAATCAAGCGAGCGCCTCTTTACTCTTGATGCGTTTTGATTTGTAAGGGAGCGTAAGCGGAGACACAAGAGAGCCTTAAATAATTCGGAGGATCGTTCTCTAAAACATTTATAATCTCATCTTGTTGCATAAACGTCCATAAATTTAAAGCGACATTACCAATACAAAAGTTTCAAATTTATTATGAATGTATCGTTACAGCTTAAAGTCTATAAACTTTAATGGTGATTTGTGCAATTTGATTTATATACAGCGTTAAAACGACTTATGCACCTACGCACTGCCAATTTGGCATGAAGCCTCGCTACTGCTGTGTTTGCAAAACCGTAAGCGGAACAAGGTGATTATTGATTTACATTCACATTTCATACGGATAGTGAAATTTTGAAATACCTAGATTTTTGTACAGATTTCTCTTTAGAAAGTAAGTTTTTAGTTCTGAAGTGGTGTGAAGCTATTCAATATATCTAATGTCGTTTTGTTTCCGATAACTTAACTGGACACGAGAAACGGAACCCTGATAGATCTATCGTTCGTTCCATTTATATCTACTAATATTATAAATAGACCTAGTTTCTAATCTAACTTTGTTTATTTTTCTAGTATCTTCGGACACATTGATGATCATGAATATTCTTTCACCAACTGGTAGCTATATCATATGGTTTGTCAACCAAAGGCTATTTATAATTTACGCGAAGAAAGTTGCAGGGAAACAGCAAGCCTGTTAATAAAAATCCACCCAAGTGCGAGTCGGACTCACGCACGTAGGGTTCCGTACTGGAAACGAGCAAAAAAATCACGTTTGTTGCATGGGAGCCCCCTTCAATATTTATTATAATTTGGTGTTTTTAGAATTTTTTGTTGAAGCGTCGACAGAAATACATTATCTGTGAAAATTTCAACTGCCTAATTTTCACGGCCTGGCGACAGACAGCAAAGTAATTTAATAAAAAGGCAACATTTTACTTGTAAGATACGGAACCCTAATAGTACATTAATTGCATACTTTATTGTTATAGATGTATCAAATAAAATAATTTATAGTAAGGAATAATTAAAAAAAAAAATAAGATAAATAGTTTTGCCTCCCGATATCCTTAACGGAAAGAAATGGTAAATTTTTCAATATTTTCTTATGCGCGGTATCGTCTTTGTCGGTTTATAATAAAAATACTTAATATCTCCAAAAAAAAGAAAATATAAAGATATAAAACCTCTTAGGTTCTATATGGGAATTAGTGAATAAATTGGACACTTTTTTACCAGCATTTCAATGTAAGGCACGTCGCCCGTGCTTTTGTGGCAGGTCGCATTTGTCCGTTAAATTTTAACGCATGGCCGATCACAACGGACAACTGTATAAAAACTTTAGGCGTCTTAACTTGGGGTTAGAGGACGACCAAGGACGTTATCGCACGTCTGGTGCGGTGGTGAGTCAGCGGAATGTTATTTTGAAACTATAACGGTGTTAACGTAAGAAAAATAATTTTCACTCTGTTCATTAAAAATGTTCTTATTTAAAGTAAAAGATGATCATGTTGATCCAAAGTAGATTTTATACTTATTTATATGCTAATATTGAAACAATGACATTCCATGTTACGAGTAATGCTGCCGTCCTTTTTTTGATGCTAGGAAATGCATTAGCGCGATGTCCTCGAGTTATGAGGGACTCTCTCTCTTGCGGACCTATCTCATAGCAGGGGCATAACCAATAAAACTAAGCGATATCCCTCTCCATATGGTGCTAAGGGCACCATTTCTGAAAAGTGCGATAACTCAAAATTAAGTAATATTCGTGATCGGATAAATGAGCTTATTAATATTTTTTTATCAGATATTTTTTGTATTGACGAAAAAATCGAAAAAACGAAAATGACAAATCTTTAATTGCGATTAGCATAAAGTTATTGCACTCTCCATAAAGAACGAATAATAACACGCATAGACAAAGGACGACCTAATATTGCAGTGCTATTCAGTTATAGAAACAGCCTCAAATTCGACGACGAGTACAGCGCTGTCACAGCATAGAGGTGCAATTAGGTGAAATCTATTTAAAAAGGTGACAAAAAATTTTCCGTCACTGAATGTCTTGTCTATCTTGGGTCAACGCTGAGCTCAACGTCAAAAGTTCGAGGCTGAATATCCGAATTGGACGAAATCCAACTACAAACTCCAAATTATAGGGCTCTACTTGATATAGATTAAAAATTTGTACTAACTTTTTCAATAAACTTTAATAATAACACTTTGCTTGGGATAACTAACGGTTAAGTGAGCGTTTACCAGTCAAGGTTTAGTTAGGTAAGCGTATGACCTAACAAACCTACGACGCTACAAGCAACATAAAACGTACGCAGAGCTTTATTTAAGACTTTATAAATCTTTATTCTTTGTATCGGCTCTGAATATTTTAAGTTTTAATGGCAATGGAATTTAGCCAATCCCCTTAAATTATTTAAAAAAATATATAACGTTTTGAAATTTCGATCTTACGAGCTACATTTAGTATTTAAAGAATTTGTAAAGATCTATGCGACCCTCAAACACTTCTTATAATTCTTTTAACATTAAAAAGATAGTTTTTAAATAATTGAAGAGGCTACCTCAATTCCATAAATCCATATTCACATAATTACAACTGTTGTTTTTTTTTTAAACGCCACAAACACTCCTCGGTAAATATGTACCAGCTTTTTGCCCATTAAGTTAGTTGTATATTAAAATTTATCATTTTTTATGGTATTGTATCCTATGACAAAGCGAGGCATTATAGAACATTCACGGTGAATTCCTTCGTTATGGAGGAGGCTTCCGGTGTTTAACAGGCATGCAGGCTGTGCGTGGAATCATAAATAACACTCCGATGTCAAGACTACAGGCTTTGACTTTAAATAAATTGAAATAACTATTCTTAATAAAAAAATACTTAAAAAATCCACTTGGTCCCTGGCACCCTGAGATAGGATTCGAACCCATGACCTTCCGTAATCCGGGCGACTGCTCCAACCATCGAGTTACCCAGGAGCTAAATCTTCGTAAACAGACGAATCTTTCAAGCACTTGTTACTTTTTTAGGTATTTAATAATTGCCAACTTTTTTATTATTTAATAAAAAAGTTTATTATTTAATTAAAATGAGTTGGCACTATTATAAAATAAAAAAGTTTTCTTATGGTGCAGTCATATGTACATTCCACACCACAGTATGTTACCACAATATGTCAACCGCAAGTGTAGAATGAAGTGGTGAAATTTGTCAGTTTCGTATAATATGACGTGCTATTGACTGTAAAATTAATTTTAAGCGTTATTATTACAGTAGAGCGTCGATTATCCGAACTAATTGGGGGACAGGGGTGTTCGGAAAACCGGTTTTTTCGGATAATCGAACTGTATTGATATAGCTATACATATTTATTTATCCACGGGTGAATAAAAGCCATATTTATATATGTACCTTCATAATAATATCTTTATTGAAAAATAGGAATTAGAAAACAAATAAACTGAAGAATTTGAAACAAAATATTCTATGTACAATATTGGTGAAAATCGAAGAGTATTCAGTGGAATTTACTAACGCTTAAAAAATCTTAAATTTTCGTCTGCCGAAGCAAGCCGAGCGGCTAGGTCACGTATTTTTAAGGACATATATTTGATACCGGTCGTTCTCGAGTTGTGTTTCAAACCAACGCAAGGCAATATCTAAGCAAGTAAACGCTTCTGAAGCACCAATTGTGTTTTCAACTTCATTATCTGAACTTGCAGTAGATGAAGTGGTGTCAGTTTTATTAGTCATCAGATTTAATATTGTAGAAATTGAATATTGTTGAAGTCGAAACAAGTGCGCGCACGAGCGCGGGGCGCGGGAGAGTCGGGAGTTCGGATAAGCGGTCGTTCGGTTGATCGACGTTCGGATAATCGACGCTCTACTGTACGTTAGTTTTTAGTAACTCCAAAAGTGATTGCAGAATTTTGACAATTTGTGGTATAATCATGTACTGCGATATAATTTATCTACTATTACAGCTTTATTAGCTTTTATCATTTAAGGTACTTAAATAGTACCGAATTACAAAAGCATAAGAGCATCTTTTAAATACAAAAAGAAATATCCGTTTTCCTTAGTTTCTTTATTATAAAAACTCGTTTTTATCGTCGCCTTAACATTTCCTGCTCTGAATGGTTCGCAAAGAAAAGAGACAAATGAATTCGTGTGGAACGAGTAAATGGAATGGGCTAATTCACGGAAACATTCTTCAAGCTGTGAGACTAAGAAAGTTATTCGACTAACAGCAGACCGCTATTTTGACCAAAAAACAATAAAATAAGACTAGCGAAATTTCCTATTGGAAACATTAATTTGTAATTAATATCATCATCATCATCATCATCAGCCGGAAGACGCAATTAATATATTTGATTTAATTCAAAATGCTATAGTAACATTTATTAACTGCCATCAAAAAAGAGGTTATATCATAGAAATATTATAGGCACTCGGAGACGATATACGAACAGTCTGTTTGTTATTTGAGTTCTACAAAGATAGATGTAATAAAAAATGGCAAACATCCTGGTTATGTTTCGGTATACTTGTAAAGGTTTTGTTACTGAATTATTTTTATTATCGACGTTTTATAAAAAAATAAAACAAAATAATTACTGCAACTATGGAACGATGTATGAAAAAAATGTATACAAAAAATGGTCTCTCGATATGAGTTCATTGTTCTTCGCAAGGCCAAAATATAATAGGAGAATGTGTATCTCTGTGAAATTTTATTTTATGATTTCTACCACACTATATCATATTAAAACAATGAAATCCCATGTCGTAGACAATAATCAGGAAAAGGATCTATAGCCACCATTATTTTGTGGTAGGCAACATTAAAAATTTTGCAATGGCAAACAATTAAAAAATAATCAAGATCGGTTGAGCTTCCAAATAGGGGTCAATGTGTGTTGCATTTTTAATGACGATAATTTAAATTTATGCCTAATTTGGTTTCTCCAATAATCTTTATTGCAACGATATAATTTGGTTGTATTATTATGTTATTCTATTCATATATTAGGCTAGTCTTTCTAGCATCACCCGCTACTGAAAAAAATGTAAAAACATTCGTTTGCTGCCAAGAAATATAATAATTACATCATACTTTAACAGTTGGCTCTTTTAAGTCGACATTTAGTTTCCTATTGTGCAAAGGGGCATCGTTAGGAATCCTTTGTGTTTTGGGACGTGAAATCACGACTAGTGACGTGACCGGCCCCAGTCCGTCGTGCTATGCTGTGCATCGGTTATTAACCCGGCAGGAACCGCACGAAACTAAGCACCGATTGACAAACGCGATCTACCCGTACCAGCGTTACGTTATCAGCGGAACTTATTGGTCTCAATTTTATTTCTAATTCGATTTATCGGAAATCGTTGTGGTCATCGTAACATGCATAATACCTAGCAAGAGTAATGATTAAATGTAGAAACATTAATTTATTATATTCTTGGATATTCCTGGATTTTCCATATTTATTATTGAAACCGTCGCTTTAGCATTTGATCATTACAATTTAACTATAAAGATACTCTTTCTACATTGTGTCCGAGCAAAGCACTTACAATTTGCAACAGATGATAATTCCATCACATCTATAGAAAAACATATCAAAGAAATCGCAACTTGACTACCGACTTTTACCAGGTGACATTTTTTTCTCTCCATCAATATAAAAGTGTGGTTTGTCACGCTTTTCACGAACTGAAACAGAGCGAAACGATGGCATCTGGCTTACCAAACGCGCCGGGCAGGCATATTGTTCGTTTCGTTTTTGGGTCATGCCGGGCAGGCAGGTTAATCGTTTTATCCATAGCTCTTACCATTTAACGTGATAAGACGTTGCTTTAGATTGTGTACATTATTCGAGAGCAACTCAATAGACAAATACATAACTGACTGATTTATGAATAAAAGTATTTTATAATCGTCGGACAGGATAAGACAACAGACCCCAAACTGAACATGGACATTACATTAATGCAGATAACTTTATTGTTTTAATATCACTTCTGTTGTATAACAGCTAGATAAACACTTTTACATATTATATATTGATAATGATAAAAAAATACCTTATTTCACAATGATACAAGGATATATTCAATGAGCACCTTGGCGTCTGAGGTATATTATATTTTGAGCTGAAATAAAAAAATACTTCGAATATTCTATACGACTATATTTTGTGTGTGTTACCTCATATACTTTGTTCTGTGTGTATCAGTTTAATGATTCTTTTTACATTCGACTTGTGATGTAATTTTATTTTGTGAAAGAATGAGATAGATGAATCGCTTTTTTAGACGAACTAGTTCTTCCGGCATCTTTTAAAAAATAAATATATTTCTGATGATTTTCGTAAGGGTCGTTCAGTATGGCACTAAAACACAAAAATTTGGCACTTAAAATGTGAACTATATACAAAAGTGGTAACTTGTTCGAAGTCGGTGGGGTAAAAATGGGGTCAGCAACTTCTCGCCAGAATTCAAATGAAGTTTGTTCAAATTGTTCACATCTCTTCAACCGAATATGTAGTTTTAAATAATTATTCACTGGTTTCTAGTATTTTTTGAAAAAGAAAATACATACTAATATGTTGGTTACATTAAGTTAGTTTTGTATTATTTTAAATATTTTTATAAGTATATCAATAATCGTAATCTGATGAATTATTTTAAAATACGTAAGTTTTCATTCCATCGCACTGTATAAAACATCACACTTTTTTTGTTAAAATAGAATGTATGGGACCGTGGGATACCTTATACGGCCCTAAAAAATTTGAGCAATTTGTTTTTTATGTAATATGGTTAGGTTTAATAATAGTACGGGGACTGATAACAATACTATAGAAGGGCATAGCTACTCAACGATATGATTTATCAAAATTATCTCCAAACAATGATAAAAGATTAGGAAATGTATTTTAGTAAAGGTGTGTTCATTAAATAATATTCGTCCATCAAGGTAAATTACAAATTCGATTAATCATTTACAGTAGACTACACAACAAATGAAAATGTTCAATGAATGAATAAAAAATAGGATAAACTCCAATCCTTCTAAGTTGCAATTTTCTTTGTGTAATGAGAAAATACAGAGTAATGCTTATGCTATTTATGCAGCAGTACCAGCCAGGGTAATAATATTAACATTTAAATCACTAGCTACTATTGATTATGAGACACAATTGCTCTTTGTCCCTGCCATTCTGCCGTCGGGAGTTACACAAATAACCGTTATTGGGTAAGTATTTAAATCCCAAGATAATTACAGAGCAATTACTAAATTAAGGACTTCTAGATAAGTCAAAATGAGGTTAATGTTCAAGCTTCGAAATATTTGTTAAAATAAAAAATCTAGGGAAATAAATGTTCCGAAACAAATGTGCTCACATGACGAAGCATAAAATTTACATAGAAGTTTATTAACTGATTAAACTGTTGGTTTAATCAGTTAATAACAACGCATTATTGTTAATGCCACATTTTATAAACGTTTTTTAATACAAATACAATCGTTGTTTAGCAATTTGTGTAACACGAACTTATTTCAGCCACAAGTCAATTAGAGAAATCTTTGACCAATGTGAACTGATACCTGAGCACTTGGTCAGAATATTAAAT